GGACCCTTAGAATTGAGCAGAATCTTTAATGGTACGAAGACTTTGTATTTTATAAAATATATATTGACTCTTCTGTATTCAGATCAGTCTGATCTCTAGTGCAAATTTTACCCAATGAAAAATAAAAAAATTGTATTTTTTCCCCCCAGAAACGGATACATCACAAGTGCCCAGTCCACCTAGCAATGGTTCAGCTTTCAAAAATCAACGCTTTCCGAATGACCATGCACCTAATGATATTATTAGTGATGAGAAGCCTGTGGATACATCTTCAACATCAAATCTTCGCAGGGTCAAAGTGTGGTATGTGTTTTACTGTTGCTTACACAATAGCTCTGTGGGCTGCATGGAATTAGGTGCTTCAGTGGAATGCAAACTTGCTTGTGCTCGTTTCAGGCTTTTAGTTTTTCTGTGTTTATTCTAGTAAAAATGATGGAACTACCATAATCACAAGATTCATCCACAGTTGTACGGAAAATGCTTCAAACCTTACAATGAAATTTGTTCTTTCATATCTTTATGGTCATTTGTCCTAAACGTATTGACTAAAACTTCTCATGTGCCTATCTTTATATTTTTTTCCTTTTTTTCATTCAGCAGAGATGTTTAAACCAAGCTATTTTGTGACATGTGTTTGGAAATTGGAACCAATAAAAACTGTCAACTTATGAATTTTGTCTTGTGACTTGTGCTTGAACCTTTACATGTCTACCCACTTCATAAATATTTTATGTGAATTTATTCCATGATGACTTCCAAATTGATTGGAACTAGTCAATTTTATATTTGTCTATTGCTAGTATATCATTTACTTTTCAGCATCACCAAACTGTTCCAGTGGTCATTGAAAATGAACAAAATGCAGGTATTTGTTACGTAATATACATGAACTGGAAAATATAATTACAGTTGTGAATTCGAACACACTCACAATAAACTTTTCCCTAACTTAAAAGTCAATAATATATGATTTATTGGTTTAAAGCAGCGTTTCTCAAATTTTTTTTGCCCTGTAACACCTACAGCTTTTAGCTAGCCTTTCGGAACACCGAGAAATTAAAGGTAAAATTTATTGGTTTTCAAAAATTTAGCCCATGGTAAAGATTTCTGTAAACTTGACAGATAAGAAATTAGGCCGAGGGTTAACGATAATAAACGTTATCGGTGAGAGTTGAGAGACAAATTTATGACCCAGAGGCGACGAAGTACTGCCGAAATCGCCATGATGACCAATTTGGTCACGATTTCGGTCCCGCCCACTGGACAATTTGAAAACGGAACAGTTGTGTTCTGGGAAACACTGGTTGAAGGTCATATCAAAATTTGAACTGGCTTCTCCAAAACTATTACTTTTATGCTTTAACCTATTTATATTAAGATACAAGCAAAGAGGCATCAGTTGGAGTAACATCACACAAGCTAATATCTCGGAAGAAGTATAAAATTATATGTTTGTTTTATTTTAATTAAATCTACAGTAATTTTAAATGGTAATATTCATTTTTAGGAATGCAAAAAAGAGAAAAATACTCAACAAACTTCCATTCCCAGATCACAGCTTGCTGGGATTGTACAACATTACTCCACGTTGAAGATTTCTAAGTATATATGTTTTATTCTTTCATGCAATTCTTTATAGGACACAAAATGGCCATATGGGTCTTTTTGCTGAAGCGTTGTTGTTAGGTTGACTTTTTTGGAGCGAAAAAAATTGCTCGAACTAATGGACCAATTGATATCAGAGTTCTATGATATCCAATATTTTATTTTAATTCATATTAACACTATTTTTCATGGCTGTCCTTTTTAAATTTGCCAATTTGGTGATCAGCCACATTTCTGCATGAGTTGCATAGGTTACTGCTACAGGAGTTTGCTATTGGATTCATGTCCAATTTTCTAAATAAATATGTTTCTGGCGTCAAATTACTTGTAAACTTACATTTGAAACAATTTAAAGTTAAAGAAACTTTTTTGAGTTCTTTCAATAAGGCTGTCGAACGTGTTTGAGGCATCTACATAATTTCACTTCAGGGAAGCATTTGAGGAAATAGAAGATGTTTCTCGGCAATATTTTGAGAATACTATGAATGACTTGGAAGAAATCTGTCATAGGAAAAATAAAAAATAATTTCATCTGAAGATGTTGTAAGACTTATGAAAAGGTCTGTTCCTGAAATATTAATTATTTCAAAGCATTTTCTGCAATGTCTCTAGAAAACAAGTTTCCAAGATGAAACTGGCGTTTGTTGAATTCAGTGAAATTGAAACATTTTTTTTTAAACATTTGTACAAAATTCCTAAAACCAGGTTCATACTTCGGAATGAATCCTCTGAATGTCATCATATAATCTATAAATAATGCATGCTTCTTTGAACTTTTGAACTGTTGTTTTGCTTACACAGAAGTCATAATGAATGCGTTCATTTTTAGGCGACAACACTTGACAAAAAAGAAGACATTAAATTCTCTAATAGAGGAAAATCTCTCACTTGAATACAGAGAAGAACTTATTCAAGTAGCATATGCAGGAAATAAAATCTTGCCTTGATCGAATGAATAGTGCATGTAGTCGTAATATCTTGAGGCCTAATAAGATTCAAGTTCTGTTATTAGAATGTGATTGCCGATTTTCTGACAGATTCATTGCACACCAATCATGAGTGGGTATGATCTGCTGACAAGGGAGAGTATGAAAGGTATGCTGACAACTGTTGAGCATCAACCAGTATTGAATTAAACTAAATTCAACATGTCACTTGGGGTACAATTCATTATTATAAAGCTTGTTTATGTGGTTTTTGTTTTAATTCATTAAAATTTCGAATATTTCTGAGAATTTGTGTTCTTTTCCAGAAGAAGGGGTTGTACTGCATTCTGAATTAGTTATTCTTTTACGTCAATTTATGTAAGTTCGCGCAAATACCTTCCTATTCTTAATGTTGCGGGTAGCGCTGCATCTGTGACACGCCTCGTAGTTCGGGACTGTTTTACGTAAAAATAGAGCCAAGGACGAACTTTAATCTTTTCCAACCAGTAAAAATCGATCTCGAAGTTGCCGGTACCGGAAAAGCATTGAGCAGTTAGTTTCACATTTCTAGAAGTGTTTATGCCACTTGGTTTGGAAACTTTTTTCGATAAAATTTGTACGTTATAAACGTTTCCCAAATTTTGTTGGAGTATTTCACGTCACTTCTTTTAGCTGTCGGCGTGTAAAAAGTTGTTTACACTTTGCACCCGTTCGGTACAGTTCCATGCTGGTTTGTTTTCTTATGGTGCTCACAGTGCGCATTTTTATTATGGTTATGCCACAAACGCGGTGCGTATAAGGATATAGGTAGTATGTACCTATTTGTCTTGTGATGTTTTGTCATCATTTCAAATAATTCGCTTGACATCAATTAAATTGACATCAAAGAATATGTATATGATGGCCAGCAAATTATTCACATGACCCGCCGAACAAATCAACGTGTCCTTCATTAGGTATATAGGCCTAATAGTATTGTAATACCAACCGTATCATTGGAAAGCAGCTACTGAACTAGGTCAGGCGATATTGCTCATCAAAAGCCGGTTGTTGTTTCCTGCAGTTCGTGATAATTTCTTTATTCGCCTGTGAACAAGCAAGAGGCTAAAAGTGTAAATGAAGGAAAATGTTAGTATCGGCAATTCGACAAAATTTTGTGGTGAGTTGTGCGTTTTTTGGAATAAAAATCATAAGTTTATTTTGATTTCCCGAAAAAGCACATACAAAACAAATCAGTGAACACACAGTAGATTGGGAGAGCTGGCAAAACCTGTATAGTTCCAAAATATGTATGTCAGTGTGTTCCAGTGTACAGGCTGGCAGGTGTACACTGCATAAATGGTGGATTCCAATTTAAATTGAATATGATTGGGCTGTGTTTATCATCTGGGATTGTTTACACCACCCACATTCTGACATTTTTGCATTTAAAGCAAACCAATAACTTGATTGAGATGAACAAGTGCAAATTAGTGCTGTAGTGTCTCATGGTCTTAGGTGAAGAAAACGGTGTCAGAAATCAGGAATTAATAATAAATTATGAATGTCATTGAATACTTTGATTTAAATAAAATCCGACGTGATTGCTGTGGCAAAAGAGGTATAATGTTGTTCCATATAAAATGCCCGGCCATTTCTTCTTCCTTCTGTCATTAGTTCTTTGGAATGTGAGTATGTAAAATTGAAATGGTAGCCAGCACAGCACGTACAGCAATGCCAAAGTAGTCCATATTAATCTAATCCTATTATTTTGAGAGCCATCATTTGGAGTCTAAATTGTTATTACGTTGGCAGAATTATTAATATTATATTTGAAGAATTCTCTACTTCCTGTGGTTTATTTGATAAGAAGTAATAATGATTGAAATAAAAGTAGATTAGAAGCGAATTATAGTACAGAAATATAAATTTTTCCTGATAAAAAGAACTATACAAAATCTTTTGTACCACACTCGCTAGTTCTAGCAGATGCTGATGACATAGTGGTACATGCACAAATGCTTACTCTTTTTTAATTTGGTTTAACTATTGGCAATGGAAACGTGGGCCAAACTATTGGTTGCTTTCCACAATTTGTGCACGTATTACTATGAAGTAACCCGGTAATTAGAAAAGACTTCAATGACCTCAAAAGATTGTGCATTTTCTGTGACTTTCGAGTCATTATTCCATTATTATCGTGTTTTTTCGTTTGGCGGATCAAAAATTCTGTCTCTCCGAAGTATACCCAACTTTAAATTACACAGTAGAAAACCATCAATCTGACAGTTTTCCTAATAAATAATACTCTACATTATTTGTATGGCATAGTGCAATTGTAGTATATATCATCACATTATCATACAAGATTTTTTTGTATTAGATAGAATTAAAATAATATGCGTTTAAATTACATTTACTAATCGGTATATTCCTGTTCCAGTACTGCTTTATTGAAGTATTGACAACTTCTTTAAAATTTATAGAAAATAAACAGGTTTAATACTGAAACAAATGAAAAATTGTTTTTATTCTAGCAAATACCATTACGGTAAGTATATAGTTTGATGTAGAACTGTCTATACATCTTATTTAACTATGGATACAAAGCTGCCACGAAAAAAGTATTATCGTCAAAGAGCTCACTCTAATCCACTTGGGGACCATAATTTCCAATACCCGGTTGGACCGCAAGACATGGATTGGTCGAGTATTTACCCAGAGTATTGCAATGAAGCAATGAAAATAACAAGTATAAGGTGGAAGTAGTAGATATTGGTTGTGGATACGGTGGGCTGCTGATCAAACTATCCCCTTTATTGCCAAATACTTTAATGCTTGGAATGGAAATCCGTGTTAAAGTTTCAGATTATGTCCAAGACAGAATAAAAGCTCTTCGAAAAACATCGATCGATAAAGGATCTAAAGATTTTCAAAACATAGCATGTATTCGTACCAATGCGATGAAACATTTGCCAAATTTTTTTTCAAAGGGTCAAATTCGAAAAATGTTTTTTCTTTTTCCTGACCCACATTTTAAGAAACAAAAGCATAAATGGAGAATAATTAGTCCTACATTGCTAGCAGAATATGCCTATGTTCTCGGTGTTGGAGGTAAAGTTTATACAATAACTGATGTTGAAGAGGTTCACGATTGGATGGTTCAACACTTCACCCAACATCCACTGTTTGAAAGAGTTGGCGAAGAAAAATTGCAAAATGATGAATGTTACAAGGCAACTTTCAACTCGACAGAAGAAGGACAAAAAGTTGAAAGAAATTCAGGAGATAAATTTCCAGCAGTTTTTGTCAGAATTTCTAACAAGAGCTGATCTTGTTGTTACTACATCATTTGAGCTTATTCCATTACAGTTTTTCATCAAATTCCATTCTCAAATATTCATGTGTACGATATGTAGGCACAAATTCAAGGTTAGAAATCGATAATATTTTGGGATTTGCTTAAAGAAAATCTCTAGGTTTCCCCTCGGTTTCAAGTTGTCCTCTATTTGGCATGCAACATCACTTTTGTCCATCCATTCTTATATTATAGGGAATAGTAAAGTTTTCAATTTTTCGCAATGTGAGGGCTATAATTTGCATGTAAAACACGTTTCTTAACATCATTTTATGGTGTACATTTTGTGAAAAGTAGCAATCCAATTACAAGGATCAAGATGTAGTTCCATGAGCAATTAATGATATTCATTAATAGAATTTAAGTTGACTTGCTTACTAACTGTACAGCATGTTTTAATTAACAAAGTGACAGTACAGAATGGGAATAAATACATGCCAAATAAGCATGTTCCACCTATCATATCATTCTTTCATACTCAGCATTTGCTTTAGTCGTGTGGTATAAGAATTGCTTTGTTTGCAATTTAAGGATCAACCTACTTTAACAAAGGATTTTTATTTAGATTGATAAGCATTTCAAACATTCCAACCATTGTGCCTTTTCCTGAAATTGAGTGGTGGTATGGGTATAATACCAATGTTTCACCACGTGTTACATGCTTTAAGATTACTTCACTTAAATTTTTGTTTCTATTATCCAATTCGCTTATTTTCCAGGAAGTAACTGTATAACTCATAGATAGTTTTAGATATATATTTATAAAATTGTTTATTAACCAATATGACGTTTCAATGGTTAGTTGTGTCGTTTTTCTTATACTCTGAAATAGGATTGTGTGTGTTATTATGTCTACCATTTATTCAACCAAAGAGGTAAGATTTCTCATGCTTCATTTTTACAGTATCGTTTCTAGACAGTTGTATGCATTAAGCTCGGGACTTATGGTATCTAGATTCGCGACTTAATCTGAATCTTATATTTCGTATCTGCAAACTATATTTTGTCAATTACTTTTTAATGGCAATTATTTGCAATGGATTGAGCATATTTAATAACAACTGTATTGCTGCAGTGGACCTAGCCATTTTAAGATTTTGAGAAAAACCTAACCCAAAAAATCAAAAAAGTCTATGAGGTTTTAAAACCTAACCCCAAAATAAGGCACCACCTGAAAACAAGACTAAAACCGAACCCAATGATGACTCCTCCCACCTGGTTCATATCGATATAAATTTGAAAACGTCCATTTCTGAAGTATGTGACATAAGCTACTTTGGTTTTACTGCATGTTACAATGCCAGTGGTCCAAATGACTATTATTATAGGAGTGATTTCTTTATAGTCATTCTGGTATTCAAAATGGGTATGTAAAAAACCCCAAATCATGACACTTGAGTATTTTTAACTGAACAGTCATCAATTTCTTGGCCCAGTAAACTCTCATTGATTCAAATGATTAGGATGTATGTCAATGTCAGTTGTCAATGTCTGTGTAATATGCTGATCAAATGTTACGTTTTGCAAACATGAAATATGTTATGCTCATATTTTGAATATTTACACTAGCTTGTAAATTAAAATGGACACTTAATTCTGTTACACTGAATTGATAATGTCAACCATTTTATTTTAATGCTCCACTTTTATCATTTTGCTATATTTTTGCAGATGGCAGTATGTTTCCAAATCTCGTCTGCTAGCATTTTTTGTGACATATGGTAACCTGTATTTTGGAGTGTTCATCGCGGTATTAGTTATACTTTTTGCAGGTATGGTTAATTTATAATATGTGTTTTTATCATGAACGATTGTGTTGTGAACTGTGAAGGAATTTTTTTGGTGTGAAATATTGCAAAATGAATATTTCTGGAATAATGGGTTACTTGAAGATTGATTCTGCGGAATTAATTATTATTGTTAAGAACTATATATTATTATATTTATTTATGATATAAACGACTGCTTCATTGACACAATGTAACAATTATTCGATAATTAAGTTTAAGTGAAGATGTTTCAACTACTGCTTGAATACTTAATGAATAGTGAGAGGGGGTTTTCATTTTCGACGATCAAAATACAAATTGAAATGTGTATGATTAAATGAATAGAATAAAATTGCAGTTTGGTGTTACTGAGGTCTTTTCTTATATATGTTTTTTTCGTTTGTCACCACAGTAGTTGTGTGGTTTTTCACGAACTTCTGATTCCTCGAGAGTGTATGCATTATTTGCCATTTTCCTGCCAAATTGGGCTATCAATAATAACAATGGATAAAATGAAACAGTTATTATAACATGATGGATAAAAAATAAATCTACCAAAATGAAGCTCAAAGTTTTACCCTTTCAAAATAGTAAACTACTTTGGTTGGTCAGCATAGAACTCATTGGTATTACTGGTAAGGGATACTAGTTTTATTAACTTTCAGGGATAAATATTCTTAACAGATTGTTGAATACTTTATTTGTAGATGCTGTACGTGAAGTTCGAAAGTACTCTATTCCAAACGCTCAACAAGTGGATCTCAAAAATAATCCTAATGCACAAGATCATGTGTTGATGATGCTATTCAGAGCTCAGAGAAATTTGTACATCACTGGATTTGCTTTGTTCATGCTGGTGTAAGTAATCCATTGCTATTTGGTATATTTTTGTCAATTTTCAAATTACAGTAACAGCCATGACACGTGATATTATTTTGACAAACTGAAATGCAAAGATTTGATATGTTTGTGTCAGGTAAAAATTGGTAGCTCACCGGTATCTAATTTTTAGTAAAACTAATAATCCTAAGTTATTCTAGAACGGTTGGTCTTCTAGTCCAGTGGTTCCCAACCCAACATTTTTAAAAACAACTATTTTTATATAAAACTTGTTTTCCCAAAAATTAACTCAAAGTGAGAAAGTTGCGCTTATTTGCCATAAACGAGTTTTTGAATTCATGGTGTGGCTTTACTAAGCAAAACAGCAGCTACCAAGTTTTTGCGCTGTGATGCTTCCAACATATTCAATTAGGTACTATTGAGCAACACTAAGATCATATATTAAATAAACTAGAAAATTAAAGCAGCAACCTTTTAGATTTTTGTTGAAAAAGCAAGCGACCCAAGAAAATTTTTTGGCTCCTCATAGGTTGGGAAACACTGTTCGAGTCTACACTATCTACCCCTGCAAAATTAGCTGTTTCATTTTTATATGGTGCTTAATCACTAATCGCTCCTTTTGCTCTAAGCAAGGCCTTATGGCTATATGGGTAACCACCAACATCTGATATGTGAGGGGCTACTATTATTTGAAACGGGCTGGAATCTTTCCCGTTCAACATTGCCTACTCAATTTATTACATGGGATTTGAACCAAACATGTGTAATCTGATATCCCAATACAGTGAAATCTCATGCCATCACACTATATCTATGAAAGTCTACCAAAATAAGTGTAACCCAAACATCTTTTTCAAGGATTCTTCGTCGTCTTACTACATTGATTTCCGACTCTGCTACACTTATAGCAAGTAACGAAGCAATTAAAAAGCAAGCTGAAAGCGCGAGCAAAGCTGCAGAGGTAACCACATTAGGATATCAATATATTTGCGTCCAAGGTAAAAAGAATGTTCAAATTTTTATGCGTAATTTGTTTACAGGCATTGCTGAAATCTAAGGAAAACAAAGATGGCAGTGATGTTGATGCGGTAGATGTAGAAGAGCTTAAGAAGGAACTTGATGAAGTGAAAGAAAAATTAACTGATGCTAGAAAAGGTTTGATTTTACTAAATTGCACCATCTCAATGATCAAAGTCCATACTTTTCAATAATTGTAAAAAAGAATTTGACGAGCTTAAGAAGGAACTTGATGAAGTGAAAGAAAAATTAACTGATGCTAGAAAAGGTTTGATTTTACTAAATTGCACCATCTCAATGATCAAAGTCCATACTTTTCAATAATTGTAAAAAAGAATTTGACGTGTCGTTACAAAATTGTGCAAATTGGCTCACCCATTACCTAGTCCAGGGTGGTGCAAGGTTGTCGGCTCCGGTGGCCACAAAATTATTTTTGCATTGCATTGAGGGCCACAATAGTGCCAAGAATAGGTAAACAGTGCAACACAGAATAAACACTTTTATTGTGCAAACACAGTGATCAGTATTTGTTATTTATCAAGCTCAAAAACCACGGCCATATAACATTAATAATTAGATATCAGGCATTGCCAACAGAAGCTAATAGAATTCACATTCGATTTTTAGTTTTCTATGATGCCAAAATTGTTAGCATATATTTCCCACCAAAAAGATAAAAAGCCAGATAAGAATTTGGGCTGCCAAGCACATCATTCAACTTCGTTAGTTGCCGCAGCTAGCCATACCACTAGTCAATTCAGTGATGTAACAATATGTCAAGAGATTTTTCTCGTTAATTTTATGACGAAACAACACCAAATGCGATTTTTGATTACTCGCCGAATTCGACGCGGGCCATAGATAATGAAGGTGTGGGCCTAGGTTTGGACCACGCTGATCTAGTCGATGCAGCATCTTTTCGAAAGATTGCGTTGTTTTCAATCTATTTTTCTCTTATCTTACCATGTTAATAGTTCCTTTTGCCACTGATAAAAAGTGTGTTGATGTTTATTAACCTACATATACCATAATAATTTTCTGGTACTTTTGTATTTAGCTGAAACGAAAGCACAGAATGATTTGAATGCAATGAAACAACAAGCTGAAGGTGTTACGAGAGAGTATGACAATCTAATGGGGAAGTTCACTGAACTGCAGAATCAAGTTGAAGGCAGTGGAGATAAAAAAGATGAATGAAGTGATTTGCAAGCTTACCAATGCATGATTTTGCGGTACTTTCTGATTCAATAATGCTTGCTCTGATGCAATCAGAAAACTTACTTAAAGACATTTTAGTATATAATAAATTGTATATCATACTGTGGAGAAAAAAATATGAGACTCATATATGGGTATCTACTGAAAAAAAAGGCTATGAATTGGTGTGAATCCCAACATATTATCTATAAAAATTTTTCAAAATGTTTCATTGGTCATCCATGGACAGTCGCTATTATATCATTTTAACCAAATATTCGTATGGAGAAATTTTCACTTTACAGTACAGTCTGCATACGAGCTGTAGTGCACTTCATTATAATATCTTGCTTATATATTGCTGTTATAGCTATTTGCTGATGTTGTGCTTTTGAGTAACTTGCATGCATGTGTATTATGTTCATAATATCTTCTGATTTTATGTGAATGAGCTTATGTTTATAATATCCTGAAACTGATATATATCATTTAACGTAGTATCTAACTTGTTCATTGTATGTACATAAGCTGTATTAAAGAACTGCCTTCACTATATTATATGAAGTAAATTTGCGACATTTTTTGTGGTGCTGAATCGTTTGTTAGTATTTAAATTTACGTTGAGGCGAGAATGGGAGAGACCGGAGACCTTCGGTGGGTTTGGATCCTGTGGGGATAATTATGTGCGAGAGGATTGCTGGACCCCTCACCAGCGCAGGGTGGTTCATGTAACCAGCACGGCTTCCTCCACTGTCAAGTCATCTGAAACGAATAACTGGCTAACAAATCCCCATAGCAACAAGTACTAGAGGAGTGAAACGGCCATAGTTCCCCCATATGCTTTCCCTCAGGATAAATATGTAAATCCAATCCGAGAAAAAAATTCTGAAATGGTTCATGGTTTGGAGGAATCTTTCAGTTTTGGCGTAGCCGACCCAATTAATTACGCGGTGGACAAGGTTTTGGACCAGTAGTGTCATCATGGTTATACCTAATGCTTTGATAATCACTAGGTTGCTATTTGAAACAAACATCGACTTCATAGTTACAGAAGTTGAGACAAATGCTCAACATTTAACCTTTCACACTACAATAACCCCGAAAATCAAGATCTAACCATAGCTATATCGGATATAACCAATTATTCCAACCACATAACTACTGCAGGACAAGGGACATATTACTGATAAAGTTATATAATCACACAATTGGAATATTTTTTGGTAATATTGTATGCTACTTAACAACTGCATTGTAATACCTACGCAAGCCGCATAGGCACACCAAATATGGATATTGAAGTTTTATTTTATATTTTTTGACAGAAATATGAAAAAAAAGAGTAGAGTATGGTCAATGGCATCAGAAGTTATTTACCGCATGTTTCATTAACACTATCATAAAGAAGTGAAGCTATGTGCCAGACAAGCAAAGACAAAAATTATTAAAATAAATGATGAACAACAAAAGTATTTGATTAACTTACAAATACAAAATTGCAGCAACTTTAAGACAGATAAACCATCTGGAGATGCTGCAAACTTTTTAAAAACAGATCTCAAACACAAAATATAGATGTAGTTGAATTGGTACGTAATAATGAGTTGAAGTTATAAATGGTTGGAGGTGATTCTTTTAAGCAATGGAATATATTTAAATACTGATCTAAGAGTTGGAATATATAGACTATTAATAGTACTGGACTGGAATTTAACAGCAAAAAAGATAACCAAGCTAGAAAAAAATAATTCATCATGTTACATTGATGATTATCAGCACAACAACACTCCATATTTTAAGACTGCCTTATACCATCTGCATTGTTGTCAATAATGAAGAAAACCAATTTTTGTTAGTTATTTTTAACAAGGCACTGGGCAAGCAGAATCTTGATTGGGGAGACATTAATTTTAGAAGCATCAACCTTAATGCCTGGATAATCAAGTTCCATCACACTCTAATTTGTAGTTCTCTGATACGCCTTGTTATTATGCATTTGGTGAATAACATGGTAGGTTTAGTAGATAAATACAACACTAGTTTGATTGTAATATGCCAACGAAATATAGATGTTCTAGGACAGGGGTCGGCAACCTACGGCGCGCGGAGCAATATAATCCGGCCCGCAACGCTTCACTGAATTATAGTAACAAAACAGCTGTTTAGGCGACCATATTCTTTACGTAACAGAATTTATTTTGAGATAGTGACTAACAAGTATATAATTCACAATTACTCGTTTAATGAGCCTGTAATTTAATTATAATTAGACAAATGCCAACGAAACGCAGAAAAGTTGATGCTAAGTGCAAATGGTTTAACAGCGCAGAAAATATTCAAATGGTCAGTCTTCGCGCGCTGCTTAAAATCTAACTTCTGATCTGTGTGATAATATGTGATTCATCGACCATCCGTTCGGTTTTTAACTTTCTGAAAATATGTGCGGCCCACCAATGACTTGCAACCTTAAATTTTGGCCAGTGAGCGACAAAAGGTTGCCGACCCCCGCTCTAGGAAATAGGTAAATTTAACATGTTTATGGCAGAAACAATAAATTCCTCCACTAGATGCGAGAAAAGTTCAATAATACACAAAACACAAATATTTGAAATGTAAATAAAAAATGCCCGAATGAAATCCTGGGCTGCTGAATTTGAGAAGATTTCTTACAGATGTGGAAATATGAAGATAAATAAAACATTACCCTATGTTTGACATCTTATATTTAATTGAAAATTGATATATGTAACTTTTCTAATGGTATATGATATGAATTAAAGACATGTAAAAGAGTATAATATTTTCAATCACCGAAAAAAATATGTCGGCTTTGCACTAAATGTTTACCAATGATGATCTGAAAATTTATCGGACAATCTGAAAATATGTTTCACTTTTGAAGATTTCACTTGGTCTCGGATTCAACAATAATTCTTGACTCGTACCAAGCATATAAAATAAGGCTTTAAATATACAATACTACTACTCACATATCAATTTACTTCTCCGAAAAATGGTCCCAATGATCTTTTAACATCAGATATTTATGCTATGACATTGTACCTTTTACAAAAGCATACTAAACAATAATATTTGACAGGACAGATGATAAAATTTCATGAAATTTCAAATTTTATTATCGAGATATAGCAGTGCTCTTCAACAGGGGTTCCGCGGAACCCAATGGTTCCGCAATACATGCAGTTGGGTTCCGTGAGTTTATAGAGTTCCTTAAGGGTTCCGTGAGTTTATAGAGTTCCTTAAGGGTTCCGCGTTTTTTTTCAGGGGAAATCATTTCATGCTTCAGCATGTTGATGCGTTGCTGCGAAGTTGTTTAAAGAGTGTAGACATGAGCATGAGAATTCAAGAAGATTGCAAAGGAAATGCAAGAACAACTAAGTCATTGAATTTCACGCTTGTTACCTTCTTTCTGTTTCGTTGTTGAAGTAGAAATATTCGAATTACAAATATTTCGTGTTACGAGTATTTCGTGTTTTTTTTTTATTTTTGTTAATTGGGGTTCCATAAAAAACGAAAAATTATATCAAGGGTTTCACAATAACAAAAAGGTTGAAGAGCACTGAGATATAGTATATAGCAGCCGTTCTCAACCCGGGGCCCATAGCAGCCGTTCTCAACTCGGGGCCCATAATTATAGGCACAAAACTGATTTCACTTTTCCCTTTACAAGAAAACTCCCACATCTTCCTAGTTTCATTTCTTTGCGAAGGTTATTTCACAGGGTGTTTTCACTTTGTTGAGCATGAATTGTTTAAACATAATGGGATTTGGAATCCACCAATCAAAATACTATAAACACCACTGTAATGATAAACAGGGAGGCCATGAGTGGTAAATGGTTGGAAATCACTGGTTTATAGTATTTCATTTCTCGATATCTTGTTGGAAACACAGCAATCAATTTCAATAACTATTTTCAAATTTTTGATTTTTACACAGACAATCTATTTGCACTTAAATACTGAGGAAACAAAATACGACAAATGATAAAGAATTTCACAAATTACAAACAATGCTGATGAACAATAAAAAAACAAATAACCCACAATAAAACATTCAGAATCAGTTGATTTGTAAATTCAAAATTAAAACAAAGAAATACTGCTTTAGTAAAGGTCTTAAAATATGAGCCTATTTATGTCAAGAAGATGTTCCAGGTAGTTCAGTAATAATACACTGCACTATATAGGTTGTCTCAATTTTTAATTGTTCGATTCTCTGTTGGTCTGGTAACATTTTACCGGCAAAGATCCATCGCTGACTTGATACCTTCACACCTTCCTGTGATCAAGAATTAAATAAAAAATTGTATCATTTTTTAATAAGCTTCCAAAATAATTACATTAATACTAGCTTATATAACTTAAATTATGTTCAACATTTTCCAAGAACTTCAGTTATGTGGCATTCACGACCTCATGGCTGTTTTCCTGATCATATTGAAATGCGTCATGCGTGAATCAGTATTTACTAACACGCAATTCTACACAATAATGGTTTATAGTCTCAGTATCTCTTGGCACATTAGCGGTTGCCTATAACTTCGCTAAGTGATCAATCTCCTATATTTCTGAATCTGAGTGAGTGTATGTGACCTTGTTTCGAACAAAATTACCAAAAAAAATAGACACAGAATGGGCTGACAGAGATGAAGCATTTTATTCTAAACTGTTTGATGGTGCTGCTAACTGTGAGAATAAAGTGTTAGAGGACCCAAAAGGGAAGAAAAACTAAGCTAATTCAGAAGCTTTCTATGATAATGAAGATTTTGCAATTCCAAATCTGAAAGCTTTGGAGGCAAAGGCAATGAATGTGCAAACTGTACATCAAACCTTTTCAAATCAATAAACATTATACTTATAAAATAAGTATCATATCTAACCTGTTTTTCTAATCGTCTTTTTCCAGTAAAAACAGTGTCTTGTGGCAATACTCTTAACTTGATATCTACACCTGTTGATAATCTGATCTTTAAAGTTGTTGCTCTGTATAGAGATAATATAATGACCTATTGATGTCAATTTTTATACTTACAGCTCGGGGGAAACATTAGACTAAAAAAATATGAAATTGAACATAACAGTTCATTTCAAAATTTTCAACAATCAACAATATATATGTTGCGGAAAAACATGTTAACGCAAATAGTCAGAGACGAAGTGGACATATGGATTATTTAATTGAGTTGTTATTGTTGTGAATATATCCAACAACCAAACAAACAATTTCTAATTTTTCATTAGCCTACATAATGGATGGAAAAAGTCTCCAGAAGACTTTAATTTTATTTTATCTGAAGTTCGTGAAACTAGGATATTTAATTTCTATACTAGAGTTACATGGTAAGCTTGTGGTAATGCCGGAAAAATATATTGCGCTATCATGCATAATCATAATATGAATAACTTATGGTAAGACATAAATCAGTCCCATACTTGTCAGTGCTGGATATATCTTGAAATTCCTCGCTGAGGTTTTGTTGATTAGCTGAAGAACCTACTAAAAGATTTACAGGAGGTGCAAGACAATAGACAGGTAGTTGATAATGAGATCCAAGCTCATCATAACAGTCTAATAATGTACCTGAAAAATAAATAAGATGAAAATAACTAACTCTCAAGCCTCAAATATATGGACAAGAAGGTAAAAAGATTTGTTGAGTGCAGTAATAGCCTATGTGACCAACACAAATTCTATTGTCTGCTTCAAACTGAAATTACTAATCAAGTCTACTGCTGTTTCGGTAATGGTAAGGCCTTCGCTGAAAACCAGATTTGTCAAAAAGGTGTCCGAATAGTGTGATGAAATGCCATATGGTGACGAAATGGGTGGAGGATTTCAAGTGAAAGAATTCGAAATCTATTGGTCCATTAAATTGTGAAGAAAATTGATTTTTCAATAACACCAACTATAATTTTTCAAAACATCCACATGCACAATTCATGACCGATTACCGTTGATAATTTTTTTTGACATTAGAGCATTAGTGAATTATTCGATCCATCCATTTCTATGTGAAACAATCAAAATTTTCTTATATTACCATGTGGAAGAGATATATTGGCTCCATCGATGATTGCTTGAGCCAGGCCATAATCTTTTGCTTCTAATGCTACAGCTGCTGCTTTCAAAGCATCCCATATTTCTTTCCGACCTTTAAAAAATGTCACGATATTTAGACTACATTTTTATCATATTAAAAATGAACAGAAGATCTCTTTAGCTACTATTACTGGTACCTTCAAATGCAGGAGCTGTGTCCCAAAATTCATCTCTTTTACTTCTCAATTGACCTTCTGTTAATGGAACTTCACTTCGCCATCGAGGGTGTTCCTTTTTCAGAGGTTGGTTTTTACCAATTGCTGTAATACAAATGGCAATTTTATTTCAATACAGGAAAAATGTGTAAGTTATATCCTGAGGTAATGTATTTTTAATGTCATAAAAGAGACATCGATTAAAATCATGGAAATCAATTTTATTTTTTATAGCTGGTGTTAGATTGTCTTAGTCATGTTTTCAAACTCCAATGCCCGATTATTTTGAGTATACAGACACAGTGCTGATCCGAGATGCAACACTTGAAGACTGGATTAAAAATTTCTATCAAGACTTGAGAGAAACTTTTTCGAATGAGTAGGGTGAAAATTTTCTTCAACTTTACAGCCTTGATTCGTTGAAGAAATTTATATTAAAAACATATTTCTCAATACACCACCCATCCCTGAAATTTATTTCACAGTGATAATTTTTTTGACTGTTATTAAAGATGGAGAGCTTTGAAACTGATAGAAGGTTCTGAAATATACAAGTTCATTTAAAGACATTAGGCAATGTTACTAATACTAACTACCAACGTCAGTTATATTGTGGAAAGCTAAGAGTACCTACTTTAACACAAATCAAAACTACAAATATCAGTAATGAAATACCTGGATAATTTGGATCTCCATATCTTGGATGCCGACGATTCCGATGGCTGCCTAAACAAGCACCCATTTGTGTAAAATTTAATTATATTTCCCATTAAATAAAATCATTACATACTGTATAGCAAAAGAGAAATTTTGAAAGAAACTATTGCAATAATTATGGTATTATCATGGTATGTTGCACTCGTTGGCAAGAAATAACTGAAAGAAAAGAAATTATGATCGGTGACAGTAACACTATGTAATTTGACACAAAGGTGACATCTCCATCATCCATTGGTAAGAAGCCTAATGAAATTGATAAATATGATATATGTATGTACAATACATACTCCCAGAAATTCAATTAGTAAATAACTAAAAAAAAGCTATAAACTAATTTGTTTGAAAGTTGTGAGGATAAAGAAATGCATGTAAAAGATCAGGGCCTATCGAACGGGGGTCCATCGAACAGGCTCTACGAGGGTTGCTATGAAATATTTTTTGACACTAAACTCAGTTAAAACAAAATATTGAATAAATTTGAAACTAGTACTGACACCCACCATCAGTGAAATACATTCGATATTTTGTACGAGAATTTGCAATTTTATTATTTTTTTTTTTTATTATTTCCCGCATTATTAAATTTCATTCTATATTTATTTAAGCTCCTGAGTGTCGGGAATAAAATATGGCTGTGCCGAGTGGGTTGTGATGAAAAAAGTTAGAAAAACACTGTTATAGGTGGGGTGTTTGCAAATGAAAATATCAATAAATACCCACATCTCAACCAAGTGATTTCTTTATACAGTGAAACAGTTATACAGTGCCATGTTTAGAAAAATAACCCATCAACATAAAAAAAATTCCTCCAAAAATTCAACCAAACGAAAATAATAATATCGAACTAGAGGTGCATTAATTCAAAACAGTTGTTTAACACGAAAGCTCTTGCATACATCGGCTATCACTTATGGAAGACAGTGTGACTATTATTCCTATTTTAATAGAGCCAGACCTAATTAGCCGCTGATATTCTAATGGCCAATCAGACTGACTATTGACTATTTGAATATATCACAGCTGTATCGTAATCATTAAAACCTCAAAATGCTATTTACGAGAGAGATACATAAAGGAGTGTAATATGGCAATTGGAATGGCAAACGATGCTCAATCTCATGCTCATTTAAAGATTCATCCAAATATATTAGTAAGAAATTTGAACTTAATCAAACTGTGTATTTCATATAATATGATAATTACTCTGAGTTGATTATTAACCAACTGACAACTGTTGTTTAATTTATACCTAGAGGGGGCTATGGAAGCATCCAAAATAATCTAGGTAAAGAACAATTAAGTAGTCAATCAAGTTGATTATCAGTGATATTGTTTATATATGAAGGTGTCATGTGCACAGTAGAATAAGTATAATAATATATATACAGAGTGACCCAAAAAAATAGAACCCATAACTTTTATAATTACTTTACAAAAATGAAGAAAATGTAACTTATGTTTACGTATGATTGTACACAAAAGTTACAGTAATCTATGGTAATCAACAAAATTTAAACTGTATCTGAAGTATTTTCCAGGTGATTTGTGTTGTATTTATCAGGGTCACCCCATACATAGCGCACAGTGTAATATGAAGAGTCCTGTTTCAATCTGCTTAAATATAGTCTTCCCAGTTCCACTGGCATAACAGTGCCTAATAAATCATTTACCGTAAGTATTCGTCACATGGATGATATCTATGCCCGACCTGACGATGTATGACTATTAAATACATTACATCAAATCAGCATTATGACATTTACAATCCACAAGAAAATGAAAGCACATGGGCATGATGCCATTCAGAACAGCTACCATGAAAAAAACGCATTGATATGGTATTGATTCCGGCCTACTATGGAATTCCCCTAGTTTGGGAAATTATACTACATGAAAATAAGATTGTAAAAAGGTTACACCGGTAAATGATTAGTATCTAACAAATGCGCATTTCCTTTTTATTCATTCATATGTGACCACAACCTATTTACCTAACCGCATTTCCTTTTTATTCATTCATATGTGACCACAACCTATTTACCTAATTACTGATGCAAGGATATAACAGTAAGTGGTAATCCCATCCATTTAGCAGATTAGCAATATAGAGCTGTATGCATGGAATAAATAAGTAATAAAACATTGGTCTGAATAAGAAATCTCCAAAATGCTTAAAAAAAAAAAAGTATCACCGGATCACCAGTAAACGGATAGATAAGTTTTAAAAAAATATTAATGTTTCAAATATGGAGTGTTTCAGCTGTTGCTCTGAAAAGAGGCAAGCAACCACCCAATTACAGGGCTGTTTATATGGATATAATTGTGAACCTGGGAGTATGTATGAGAATATATTTAATGGCCTCATCTGTAGAGGTTTTTTGGTCTGCCACATAAAAAGTAGGTTTCATTTTAGGGAGCATTTCAGCATAGCCTTCTGCCATGTCCGACCAAATTCTTGACATACAAATTAATGTCGTACGCATTAGGTTAGTCCATTTATAAATACATGATAATACTTAGCCAGACATCTTGGTTTTCTTCTGTAACATAAAACATAACATTCACCTGTATATAACACAAATTATAATCAAAAAAAAAAAAAACTGACACTATTTGCTTTTGTCTGGCTGAACAAATTAAAATAACTTTTGAGAATTTTACCTTCCAATTAATTTGAATTACAAATAATTAGAATTAGATTATTTTAGTAAATATTGTCAAAAATGATGATAAGATGATATTCTGTTCAGTTGTTTTAAAAAACTACTTTCGTGCAAAATTTTATTTTGAGGATTTTACAATTACCGGTACTGATTGCCTTTTTTGACTGCGAAAAAAGTTGAATCAAAGAGTCAAAATCTGCCAAGTAAAAATGTATATAATGGGTTCTGAGATTAACAAAAGTCCAATGACAACTTAGAGTCTAACTGTTCTAACTGGGAACATGGTTACAGCGAAATATGTCTAACAAATAAGAAAGAAAAAAATGAACAGAAGTAGGGTAGGATAGCATTTGTAAGTATGAATGAAATTTCAAGCATTACACAAAGTAGAAAAATTATGGTTATATCACGGAGCAATGGCACAGTAGAAAAGAAAAAAGCAAACAAAAATACGTTTAACATTCAGGAAAAGAATGATTTGTTGTTGAACAGCAAAGTGGGATAGCATTGGTAAGTATGAATAGAATTCCAAGCTTTATACAAAGTAGAAAAATTGTGGTTATATCACAAAACGATAGCACAGTAAAAAGATGGGATTACCTTGTGAGATTACTCAATACTATGTACAAAATTAAATCCGTCCATGGCCTTTATTTCTTACATTTGTTTGCATTTTCATCAAGTTCGAAAAAAACTTGCCTTGATTCAGTTGAACAACATACCATATCATTACTGCTTAACTTTCTCAGAACAACTCTAGGATTCATCGTAGGATCCAATGTTCCATATTTTCTTTTTCTATTGTTAGGTGAAATATACTCTACACATTCTTTAAATTCATTTTTAGATGAGCTCTCGTCAAGATTAGACGCATGGCATTCAGAACAAATATTTTCTAATTGAGCTTTTAAACTGCTTTTTACTTTTCTGAAAAATTCATTAGCAAGATGATACTTCACACAAGAATCGATTAGAGTTTTTCTAGGCTTGTTTTCCTCATTATCATCACTGCTAGAATATTCATCGGAAGTACTTTCAAGAATTTGGTTGATTCGAGAGAAGAGTTTATCTGCTTTGTCGAGTTTTTTCTCAAAAGATGTAAGGCTACTAAATCCGGTCATCATTTGTAAATTTGTTATGTTATTGTAATAGATACAGCTACATATGAAAAATGAAAAAAAAGAACAACATTATTATCGTGATATTGCATGACTTTACTAAATTCGAGCATGAAAAACAAATCTAGCGAGAATGGAATTGAAAATATTTGTACAAAAAACTGCCAAAGCATTTCCATTGGTATTATAATAAATGCCTATAAATACATAATATCCATGCAAATAGAAATAGCAATACATAAAATTGTCTAAAGTCGAAGGAGAATAATAGGCAGATACGGGCAGTCATAAAAAAAAAAGATTTGAAATGAACAAAAAACATGCAGCGCTTTATGTCATGTTATAGGAAGCTGATGTTCATGTACAATAATCCAGAGAACTTGCGCAGATCAGTAGGAGCTCAATGAATAAAAAGGCTGATATCCCCCCAGATAAACATTGTACCAATATAAAAATCCACGGGGGATTACAACACTGCTTCAAGCTAAGTTGCGAGAATAATAATACACATTTATAGCTCATTCCAAATCATTTTTTTGATAAAAAGGACAATAAAATGCAGATAAAAACTGACATGGCATAAACTACAAAGAAAGAGAATCAACACCAGCAGTAATGCGCAGGCTATAAGGTAATCTGAGTTAAATGAATGAGATTTTGGCATGAAAACAAAAGTTTTCCACGCAGTAAGGCAGTTTCAAAAAGTTCTGTAGCAGTAATACATTATAAGATTTATTAATTTTTATAATAGATTAGGTCTATTTAGAGGATTTCCTGGTAATCAAAACAGTCAACTCAAGATATTTACTCAATCAAGCTTTCTAATTTGAATTTTAATTATCTCAAAATGTGAGCAATTCTCTCAGATAATTAATAATTTTCCACATTTTTTAAATGATCATTAGATCAATACCTCAAAAAATAACAAAAATGTACTATTTATAACCATAAGAAAAGCTCCAAAATAACAGAACAAACCAACTAGCAAAACGAGAATATCGGTTGGAAACCGAAGACTTATCGATCGATAGTTAGGGGATCCCCCAAAACAGAAACTGCAGTTTCGATTCATCCGCTCTTGTAACTTGCGCACTGTGCATCGCACACACACACTCGGCGGGTCTCAAAATTCTCTCGCTTTACAAAAATCTAGATCACTATATCAATAATTGATTTTTAACTCGCTAATTATACGACATAATTCGCCCAAAATCAATAGGTTTCTGGTCCGAGATAAGATGAATGCACATGCAAAATTTGGAGCAGATTCAACCTCGCATTCGCGAGATATCGCGTTCATCTAACAGACTCACAGACAGACATACATACAGACAAATACCTATCAATATACTTACCGATCTTAAGATCGATAAGTAACAATAAAAATGGAAGTAATGAGAGAACACTATAAATTGGGAACATAGGTAATAATTACATTTTTGTCGAATGATAACTGTAATTTGAAACTCACATACACCAATAATGAGCAGTTCTAAAACAATGATTTTACACTATATGTGTAAAATGCAAATTGAACAACAGTTATTAGATAAAGCTAAAATCCGGCTCTGTTTATCGATTCACTGCAAAATATGAGTTTATCATGAAGGGATGCTTATTAGGAAGCTTTGCAGAATAAATTACGGTACTTGATATTAAAAATCCAAAAAGAAGTATGCGAAGATGATACACTCAGTTGGGTGTGATGTAGGACAAGGTACATATACAATCATAAAACAAATAATATGTGTGTATATAGCAGGGGAAAATAATGATGGCGTGAGACATTTCAAGAAAGGTCATGAAAACATAGTAACACATGAGTGGGTGCAATGGTGTAGTCTTCAGCATGCTACTGGTGTCAAAAGCTGAACATGTCCGACACAAATTTTGGTACTTCCATAGTATGCGTACCAGGCTAGGGTTAAGCCATAATTTTATTCTGATTTTCCTTATTTTAGTTTCATTACAAGTTCGAGGACTGTCTGTGTTAGCCAAGTGAATATATCCCCTGCCCATGGGCTTCTGTCCATTTACACAACTTGATGTGAAGTCAGCGAAAAAAAATAGTTACTTCTGGAGCACCCAAACTCCTACGGTCACTACATTGGTGACATGAATTTGAAGATTTAAGGATTCTGGTAGCTCCTTAAATATTAGAGGCTCCTAGACTAAAGCCCATTTAAGATCAGTTGGAATTCAGGCAGAAAACAGAGCATGGAGATTTTCATATCTAAATATTTTATCATTGTTGAATTTTCTAGCAAAATGAGACAAATAATACACAAATTTTAATTAAGATGATAATTTAGACTCCCAAAAAAAAAATGCATATTTAGCAACAATTTAAATATGTCTTTTAATTTACGGACGGTGCGAAAGGAAAATTACAAAAGGTACAAGTGGCATGGAGAAAACAAATAATGCAAACAACAATGTCTAAGAACTGTGAAATAAAAACACCAAACAATATTTATATCCATGGAAAGAAAGCAATAACCATAATGGCTAATGACTACTCCCATCCGTCTACCAATCCAATTTGGTCTTAGAAAAAGACCTCGTGTCATTTTTTACGCAATGAAACGAACTTGAAAAAATAATATTTAAAATAAAAGGTAGTGTTTAGAAGATATTGGAAAAATGGAATTAGAATATGTTTGAATAGGAAATGTTTTTTAGTGAAATTCATACTTTTTCATACATGCAGGGGCGAAGCAAGAAATTTTCAAAGGGGGAATTCTGAAATCTTTATTTGCCAAGTTCGGTCGAAACAGCTAGATGGACGCTGGAATACGCATGTCTTTATTTGTCTTTAGGGTCTAAAAAGCATTTCAAGCTACGGAAAATTGCTATCTATAATACAGAAAATTGGTTTTATTTTTTTTACATATCAAAAGGGTTTTACATATCAAAAGGGGGGGAGGGGGGTTTCGACCCGCAAAACCACCCCCCTGGCTACGCCACTGCGAACATGCAAAAAATTTTCCCTTTCAGAAAGTTATACACTCAGCCAGTTGTTCCCCTATTGAATTATTTCAGCTCCATATCTACTGGCATATCTGTTGCGAAGATAAGCATATAAATAGCTTTCAGTTCGTCAGCCGTGCCCACAACCCTTCAATCATTAGTAGACGAGGGTTCTGGGTTTTCCTTTGAGAAAACTTGTTTAAAAATGAAAAAAAGACGAATAATGATGAAATAATACAAGGAAGTCACAAAGAACATCAATATTTTCTGCTTCGAAAACCTTGATTCTAGTTCAGATACCAATCTTGTTATTTTCAAGCGGTTATGTATAGGCTTCCTAAAAAACTTGGGTAGGATGCTTGACGAGTTGATAGTATATATGAAGGTGGTATATAATAAAAGAAAGCATAGTTTTTTTTTGAAGAATTCACATTAGCAATATATTTTTATCTTCTGGGATTGAGCACTGTATATCTTGGCTTGAAATTTTGAGCATTTCTTACATTCGAACTGGGTCTATAGTTCTGTTGGGCATTTGAATAGTTGGGTCTATACCGAGGTCTATTCGGATTAGTATATCTTGTTTGAGCTGTAGTTGGAACAGTATATGTTGAATTTCCTTGCATTCTCCATTTTGGTGGTACAGTTGGGCGTGGTGGCGGTACCGTATATCTAGTATGTCGTGGCATATTAGTAGTATTCATAGATGGAGGTGTAAATCTTGAAAAGCTTGTAGTGGGTGTAGATTGCCTTGATGTGGATGCAGGAATGGTATTAGGTGTAAACCTTCTTGGCGCATTAGCTCGAGGAACATATCCATTCATGTTGATTTGTGGATTGGCTGAAGAAACTGGGTTAAGAAATGACCTAGGTTGAGAGGATGAAGTGGGTCTGGGTGGTGGTGCTATTGATCTCTTTTGAGCGAGGCATCTTTTTGACTCATATTGATAGGACGTGACAAGTTTTTTTAGAGCGGTCAAACGACGAAGTAGAATATGATCATCTAGTTTTTTCTGCGTCGCATGTTTGGAAACAGTTTCAGGCTTGAAAGTGCGATTCTTCATCTGTATTTCAACTAATATACTTTCGAAAGAATTTTTAGATAATTGTACCATTTTCTTTTCTATTAGAGATAGCACTTTATTTGCATTTTCCGAAAAATGTGTGAGATGGTGAGGAGAGAATACTTTGAAAGATTCAAACATAGGATTTGTTGACGAGTCCACTGGTTTCTGTTGTTCATTGTCATATTCTTCCCACGCTGCCCTTCGTTCTGCTTCTGTGAGTTCCTCTGATACCTGATGATCTAACAATGAATCATGGTCGTGATATGTTACAACAAGTTCTGATTTTTTCAATATGGCTGCCAAAAGTGCATCTTTTGGTGGTGCAAACTTAGGTACATTGTCTTTCTCGTCATTTGATTTCTCAGGTTTGGGTGCTGGATTAAATTTATATAATTCATTGACATCAGCGGCGGAGAAATGACGTAAAATCTGTTGTTCATCAACCACACGAAATGCAAGAGATTGCTTCATGATTTGACGCTCATAGATTTTTTCTTCCATCGTTCCCTGAGCTATAAATCTATAGACATAACACGGCTTGGTTTGACCAAAACGGTAAATGCGAAAGATAGATTGTATATCATGAGAAGGATTCCAGGAAGCATCAAAAACAATGGCTCTGTTGGCACCGATTAAATTAATCCCAATACCACCAGCTCTGGTTGAAATTAAAAATAATCGTCCTCTCGTGTTATTTTTGTTATTAAATTTAGATATCCAACTATCTCTCAAATTAGCTGGTGTTGATCCATCGATTCTATAATAATCCTTATATTTGAGCCATTTTGAATACGGTCCACTGTCAGATTTGAGTCCTTTAGAGACATCACTAGTTTCAGACTTCAGAACTTCTTCGATTAAGTCCAAAGACAAAAGCGACTGAGAGAAAATGACAACTTTATCACCTACTTCTGTTGAAAGTTGTAATATCTGTAACATTAGCATAATTTTACCGCTGTGTGAAATAGAATGAGCTAATTTTTCTTGAGTCGGCATGAACTTGACATACCATTCTTCTTCGTCTTGATTTTCATTTAAGATTACACGTTTTAACAGGCTAATAAGATCAGATTTCTCAGTACAACCCTTGATGGATTCCCCATGCTCAGCTATCATCGCTTTTAGCTCTTGAATCGATTTAATTTTTAGCGATTGCTCAAATTCTGCTGTTTTACAGAAATTGATATCAAGGTATTTCGTTGCCAAGGTTACAAGTTTTTTTCTGTTTCTTGTTTCGGGTTTTTTTCCGCTTTTACTTTCAATAAACAATCGAAGTTTGGCACCAGAAAGTGCATGGATATCTTCAAGTGTTTTTGGCTTAATTTCTTGTGATGATGGAATTTCATCGTCGCTAACCATAATGACTGAATTATCAGATGAATCATCTTCTTCTTCGCTTTCCGCACCTTCCTCCTCATCATTGATGAATTTCCGCAAATCATCTTGATTATCTTTGATATCTTTTTTATCTGTTGACATTACAAGGCATCTTGGGTGACAAATTAAAAGCGTCAATCTGTTGTAATCCTTAAATATGCCTCCTTTTCTTAGCTTAGCATCATTCGATGAGTGCAAAGTAAGATAATGTTTATACATTCGTATCTGTAAATCTGAAAGACGAACACTTAAAACGTATTCATATTTTGGTGCCAAATGTGCGCGAAGACATGTGTAGTCTTTTCTTTGCAAGCACCCCGCCAGAAGTTCATGTAATACATGAGCCCGCTTTTTCATCAATTTTACATCAGATTCAGTCGAATCGACATGTTGGCCATTCTCTATTGGATTCATGAATCGATTCTTGAATTCTTTTATAGTCCCGAGTAATTTTGGTTTTACGATACTGACCATACAATGGTATTCAACCATATTGTTTTGCAGTGGGGTGCCAGTAAGTACAATTCTACGCTTGGTGTGAACTTGTTGAACCATATTGGCAATCTTTGACATGGCATTTTTCAGAATATGACCTTCATCACAGACTAGAATATCAGGTCCAGGCTTGCATAAGCTTTCAACAAAAACCTCACTTGTTTTACGTTTGTTGTCGTTGAGGAGGGTACGGAATAGACCATATCCCACAACCAGAATACCACCTTCTGTTTTCCAGCGATGAAGCTTTGCTATTCTCTCTTGATCTGTTTTAACAGAGTGAAGATCCGATACTACAAGTTTTTGAAACTTGTGTTCATAGTCTACTGAGCGAATCCATCTCTTTAATTTCGCGTTCCATTCATAATCCTTGTTTGAATTTGGCACCCATTTTGTAAATTCTGCAACCCAGTTATTCACAGTTCCGAATGGACATAAGACTAATGCAGTACGTAGATTAGGCAAGTGTTTACTCATAAGCACCGTGTGAAGAAACGCAACAGTTTGAAGACTTTTTCCGAGGCCCATGCAATGTGCTAAAATGCACCCGCTCCCCCGCTTTGAATTTGCATCTTTTACTTTTTCAATTATATTATCCCATAAAAATTGTATTCCTTGTACTTGATGTGGCTTTAACTTGTGAACAATTTGCCGATGAACTTCAACGTGGGGTTGTTTAGATAATGTCAGGCTTACCGTGACTAATTTCTTAACTGGACTTTGACTCTCTTCATCGATAACAGTTACTTCTTCCTCCTCTTTGCTTCCTTCTCTATCTTTTTTCAGCCTTTTTCTTCTCTGAGCTTCTTCCAGTGAGGCTTGTTGTGTCGATTGACTAACTTCATCATCATCGAGAATTTTCCTTATGTTTTTTCTGCCAGTTTTTTGTGAACTACCCGTCGTGTTTTCATCAACTACTTTGGGATCTCCGTCCGATTCTGACTGTTTTATTAAACGGCGTCTACGTTTATGGAATTTTTTCTTTATATCTGTTATCTCTTCATCAGTATCAGTGCTATCATCTTTATCAGATAAACTGTCACTACTTTTTCCACTGTCAATAATGATTGGTTTTGGAGAATTTGAATCACTGTCAGACAACAGCCTTTTACATTTCCTATTTTGTTTTGACCTTGTTTTGCGAGAAATATCAGGCTCAGAATCTGTTGTTAAATTGGGGTCAGAGTTTTCAGCCATTTCCAACTTTCTTCTTGGTTTTTTACTGGAGGAAACAGACTCATGCGAAGCTTTTCTCTTTTTATCTGTAGTATTCATACTGGCATCAGAATTAACTTTATTACCAGTTTTAGGATTTTCATCATTTTCGTCCGACCCGTCTTTCCATTTTTTAGCCAAGAGTGGATGCTTATATCCATTATGTTTTTTTACTTTCTCTTTCACTTCATCAGTCTTTGAGTTTATTTTTTCATTATACCCAGTCTCATGTACCTCACTCGAGTTGCTATCTTTAGTATCAATGTCACCATTCTCTTTCAATAGCTTATCAACATCTGAATCTGGTGAATCGTATTCTTCTTGCATTTTTTGAAGTAGCAAATGCATTGCAATTTCATTATCATCATCACCTTTTAAATCTACTTTATCTTCATCATATTCAGAATCGGAAAAAAAATCTTCATCTTCAACTTGATAATCAGAATCCGAGTCATTGTCATCATCTGTCAATTGCAACTTCTTTTTTTTTCTTTCCGCTTTTAATTCTTTGTCTCTTAAAATTTGCATATTTCGTAATTTTCCACTTTTGACTATTTTTTGTTTGAGTGAAAAATTGACACGAGGCCGAGGATTGGATTCAGAATCACTTCCAATTGAAGTGGCAGTCAGGGTATTGAAATTAACACGAGGACGCATTATATTTTTAGAGCTGTCAGTATCCAAATCAGTAGTACTGTCGTCTACATTGTTATCAACCTTTTTATGAAATTTCAATATGTCGTTTTCTGTTAGTTTAGTTAAAACTATTTTCGGGTTTTTCATTAACATAGATGTTTCTGTGGAGGTTGAAGGCTGATTGAAGGTTGAAGGTTGATTGTTTTCTTCGTTTGGGTCAATTCCAGAACTTTCATTCAAATTTTCCTCAAATATTTCTTGTTCCACACTTCTATCTGTTTCCATTTTTTCAGGGGTTTCGTCATTTTCAGTGGTTTCACTACCAACTCCAATTGTTTTTTTGCGTGCTTTTCGTTTGTTCATTTCATTATTCATGCTATCATCATCAGACGAGCTATCTAAATTCCCAGAATCTTCACTGGAACGATATTTCCTCAATTTAGTTTTGTGAGCTCTAAGGTCGTGCTCAATTCGAATCAATTTTGATGAAGCTGACTTAACTTTTTTCAGAAGTTTACTAGTCGATCTGAACTTTGAATACTGCGAAAGTGAGCTGGAGCGAGACACTTTATGACCAATTGATGATATTTCATCGGCAGCAATTTCTTTTATGATCCGAGCAAGGCGAGCCAGGCATTCTTCCGCTTCTTCCATTTTTGATTTAAATGTCGATGTACTCTGCTTCGACGGATTTTTTGTAACATCATTTCTAGTTTCTGAAATATTTGCATCATTAGAATTTTGACGGATTACATTTTTTACTGGTTTAGTTCTTTTACCAACATTTTTTCTAAGTTTTGGAAGACTTGAAGGCGAAGGAACATTTATGGCTGAATTTTGATCTTTCTTCAATGTACTATTATCATCCTCAATATTTGAATCAAGTTGCGTAGTAGGACATGAATGTATTGTTACTGTAGGATCATTGTGTTGTTCAGAACTCAGTCCCTCTTCTATATCATCGGTACCATTGTTCTTTAGCTCATTGATTGATTCGGCACCATTGTTATTTTCTTCATCCATGGGTTCATCTTGCTTGGAAATATCATTAAGGTTTGAAAAAAATGGTTTATCATCAATGTTTTCTATTTTAACATAGGAATGCTTACAAGGACTTTGTCTACTGCTTTCTGGATCTGACAATGACCTTGATTCATGTTTGACTGGTGATTTTTCATCGCAGGAACAGGAAGCTGATCTATGCACTATATAATTTTCTTTTTCTTTGCGAATTTTTATTGGATCTACTTTTTTCATTTGCTCATTTGTTTGATTCGTGTTCATATTAACATTAGATGGAGACAAGTGAGTTTCCATTGGTCCTATTATTTCATCCAGGCATTTATTGTTCTCTACTAAAGTATTGAAGTCTCTACTTTCCTGGCTATTTTCGGTAACCATTACTTGTGGCTCCACAGGCGTATCAACTTTTTTCATTACATCTTTACATTGTAAAATTTTGTCTAAAATTTGTGACTTATCACACACAAAGCACTGCCATTGAGGAGCATCTCTGATTTGTGTGAAAACTTCACTAGAAAAATTTCGCTTGATGCAATAATTACAAAATGAATGAGTACAAAAATCGCACATAATTAAATTTCCCCCTTCCCCACACCATTTACAATGTTCATCCATTCCATCCTCATCTTGTGTGAATTTTCCAGCATGGTAGAAATCAAAACATATTTTGCATACAATCACTTCCAATGCTGGATGTTTAAATATTTTGCTTCTCATAGAGAGCAATAATTCTCGCCCACATGCAGTGCACAAGATACATTTTTTTTTGTTTTCTGCATTGCCATAAAACCTGGAAAATTCTGGTCCGTGAAAATCATCATCTGGAGCAGGTTGAGGCAGCAGGACCGTGATGGGTTCAGCCATCGACATTTTTAATTTACATTAAATGTGTTATCTAACAACAACCATGTTCTATTGCAGTTATATATATATATATACAAGTATAATAAAGTTTATTTAATAAAAAAAGTTAACAAAAGCTTCAAAATGGTATCATAGAAGCAAGATTGGTTTATTCAATGGTTATATGCTTTCAGCACAGAATTTACAATAAACAAAATATAAACAGACAGTTATTTCCAGTTCCCCCATGTTCATCTAGGCAAGAATACCCTGTCGCCATCTCTCATGCCAAGAAAAATATAGAGGTTTGTGGCCTTATAGTTAAAGCATTTACAAACATGACATTTCATGCTTTTCTGGTAAACAAGTTGTACAATACCATCATCAATTTAATAAAGTTGAGTTTCCCAATAAATGTAGGAAGGCAGCGAATGAAAATGTATTTTTACTTTACAGGTAGAAGGACTGGTATGATGAAATGTAGAAATTATCTTCAATCCTATATTGCTTTGTGAAATGAGTCAACAATGAACCAAATATAACATTTTAAATAATTGTAGATTATAACAACAATATACTGAGCCACATTCATAACAATACTTTTAGTATACCGGTAGTTTAGTAATATATTCATATATTTATTTATTATTCTATTATTTGTCGAACTGCCTCAACCTTGATTTGTTGATAATATTGATTTAAAAAATTAAATTGCTAAGACAAAAATTATACAACAAAGACATAGAATATCATTTTTTTTAAACGTATTCCACTTTCAAGTATTTCAATCAACCATTCCATATTCAAGCATAATACAATTGGTATCTTAAATTATATTTTTTGAATATATAATTTAGTAGCATATACAAATTATACAAACAACTTATATTTGTAGCTCAAATTTGCCACTAGCGGATACATGTCATATTGTACTACGGTTCAGCAGTTGGCAAGATTATATAGGAATAATCCTGAAGTTCGAAAACATCCATTATAACCAGATATCAGTACAGCAGTAGGACACAGTTCTCCGTTTTCAAGATGTCCTGACATTTGGTTTATTAAAACAGACACTTTTTTGTCTTTAAAACGAGGGCCTACGGCATGCCGGCCGATCGCAACATTGTGTTTTTTTGTTACAACTATGGTAAGTTTTTTCCTTCAGTAAATCTGATTATTTTTTTTTCCAGAGGAATCTAATAGTGACGTTATTGCCGGATTCCTGATATGGAATGAAGACTATGAAGAAGGGTTTGGCACTCATTGTTATAATTGGTGTCTTCCAATGCGGGGCTTATTTTTGGCATCGAAGAACTGTGCCGTACTGTACATACATAAGCTTCACAATAAATTGATGATTGCCTATATCAAGCTTTTTTCCATAGCTTACATTACAAAAGCAAAGAAGAAATGAGTAGTCAATAACAATTCAGTGAGACTAAAACCCATTGAAAAGCAACAAGCTAAAATGTAATATATAGGCCTATTCAAAAAAAAAATTTTGTTTCATCTTGACAAACCAACTCGGTACGGTACTGAACAATAATACTTTCGAATATCAACTCCACAAATTCCTGATTTTAAGATGTGGGCTGTTTCATTATACTTATTACAATATTACATTACACTTAATAGATATTGAGATCTTAATAACGGAATATAAAATGAACCTACCAATTCCGGAATTCCCAAATCGCAATCCAATAACAGAATAACCAGACAACTAGGCTATATCCCAGTGCAGTACAAATGCCCGAAAGTCCTGATTACTTTGGTTTATGTGTTTCTTGTTAATTATTTGTGTGGGTATGTCAGTATGTGTACATGTGTGTGTGTGTGCGTATTAGTGAGCGGGCGCAAAATATTTATCATGCTTTTCGAAGGTTAGGGTAGCTCTCTAAGATTTTTATTTTTAATTCGTGTCTACTACGGAGTTCTTAAGATAACTATCTTCGGCATCTATCTAAACAAGGAAGCGATGTTCGGAGGAACATCCACTGATAGCGCACATAACCTTGCTACTTGACCACAAGGTGTCAAGTACAGAAGTAGGCTACTGTAGAAGTTCAGGTGTTATGGACCAGACCAAAGTGACTATATAATCGTGGAACATTGCCAATTTGAGCGATAAAACGCTTATGTAGACTAACTTTTTTTTGTGGGGCAGCTGCGATCAAACAGTGAATAGATCAAACGACTCCTGATGTTGTGAAAAGCCCACTTCATTTATGTTGTGTAGCATATGATATGCACTTCAAAATAACACTTTATCCCAGAGGTCCGCAACTACGGGGTCGCGACCCAAATTTTCCATAAATATGAGCATCGCGTATGTGTAGCGTATTTATGTATAACAACTTTATAAATCTCTGATTATAATTATGGATGTTTCCCCGAGTATACACCGTAACATTGGCCAATCAGCATAAGCGCAAAATTTGAAGAAACAATAAACGTTTCAGAAGCGTTCGAATCTGCTCCAGATTTTGCATGTGCATTCATCATATGTCGGACCAGAAGCCTATTGATTTTAGATGAATTATGCTGTATAATTAGCGAGTTATTCATTAATTAGTGATGGTACACAAGGTGTCACTATGGAGTAAGAGCGCTGTTTTGGGATCCCCTAACCTTCGATCGATAAGTCTTCGGTCTCTGATCGATATTCTCGTATTCTTGTTTGCATTGTTAATTGGTAATATTCTACTACGTAGGTAGACAATTGTGTTGTTTGGTAGTAACTAGTAATGCGAGATTAGCAGTATCCGTGTGGAATTGCTTGATAAAGACAGATGAAGAGATTTGTCCATTCTAAATAAAATAGTTAGGGTGCTGTTACATTTGTTATTGTAAGATATTCTTGGTGAAATTCAAAATTTAGCGGGGTTAAGAATTTTAAAGGTAGTTTTAGTCACAAATAATGTTGACGAACTGGTTACTGAAGAATACTCCAAAAGGCACGAGCGGAAAATTCAATGGCATCTTCAAACATCTTTGCGTCTTCAAGCAGTGGGGATCAACGCCCGATAAAAGACTCATCTTCTCACCCTCATCGGATAGAAATACATCACTCAAACCATTCTTATAAGCAGCGAAAAATTTATAAGGCTTGGTTTCACGTGTATTTTTATAAGTGACGAGTCACGTCCTCAATGTATTGTTTGTTCCGGTGTTCTTGTCAACGAGAGCCTGAAAGCAGTGAGATTGAAATGCCATTTTACAGCAAAGTATCCAGAATTCATTGACAAACCAATACATTTTTCCGCCGATCAGAAAAAGAATTGTTGGGCGAAAAAAAACAATGGCATAGTATCTCACAATCTTAGAAAAATCTCAAACGGCATTGTATGAAGTGGCATATTTGATCGCAAAAGATAAAAAACCACACACCATTGGAGAAACACTAATCAAAACTATTGCAATTAGCCAAAGTATGAATGGAGTCAAGGTAACTAAGGAAATGAAAGAAATACCAATGTCTGTAGATACCATTCGCCGACGTATCAGCGAAATGGGGCAAGATATATATTAGGTGCCAACTGATTGATAGAGTCAAAGGAGGAAAATACGCTTTGCAATTGAATGAATTCACGGATACGTCTGGTTTAGCGCAGTTGATTGTGTTCGATAGGTATATAGCCAATGGGAAGCTTGAAAAGGAGTTACTCATGTGCGTGGCGCTTCCTGGAACATGCACTGGTCAAGACATATTCTCAGCAGTGGCGACGAAACTGCAGAATGATGGATTATCATGGGAACGGTGTATTAGCATTTGTACTGATAGGGCTGGGGCCATGGCGGGAAAACAAAGGTTTTTTAGCAAAAGTATCACAAATTGCGCCTCATATTAATTTTACGCATTGCATTCTTCATAAGGAAAATCTGGCTAGCAAAACATTGGACCAACAATTAGAATTGAAGATCGCATTTAATGGCAAAAGAGGTTTGGCTGAATTTTCGATTTCAGTTGCAAAAGAATATCCGGAGTTATCAGCTGCTGCAATAAATGTTCTGTTGCCATTCGGAACTACCTACTTATGTGAAAAGATTTTTTCTGCGTTTTCATACATAAAAAACAAATAAAGATCAAGGGTAAAAGTAGAAGAAGATCTTCGAGTTGCTGTCTCCCAAATTGAACCTTGAGTTGATAAGTTGTGTTCGAAACGCAAAGCTAATAATTCGCATTAGTCATAATAAACGCTATTATTCACGAATTTATGTGATAAGTTTCATATAATTTTGTGCAAGAAAATTGCTAGTGTCAATAATAGTCTTAACTTTACCTAATAAAGAGTAAAGAGGCATTATATGCCTTTTTAGGCATTTTCAATACTTTATAATACTATACATTCCTCCATTAATATATGAAAGAAATCAAGATTTCATAATTACAAATAAATTATCAAAAATAGAATAAAAACATATTAGAACATAAATTATCATTAAAAAAATATTAAAATCATAACTAATTACATGTTTACCAAATGCTTGGGTCGCGAGAAATTAGAAAAAATTTGCGGACGGACCCCTGCTTTATCAGACTCGCTTGTATTATTGGTTAGTGCGCAACGCTAAGGTTTATTGAATTATTTTTTTGTTGTGCGTTTTTATATCGCAGCGGGAAGTACACGCTTGAATAGTAAGCGATTTTTTATCACTTCCAAATGTCATATAACGCTCATTCTTATATTGTCGTGTAGGAAACTAGCTTTTCTTCCAAGCAAGACCATAACAAACATTCCAGACCTCATGGTTTACACACAGCATTGCAAAACGTCTGAAATTGCGCACATGCGCTAACCAGGTAAGAGGTGATTTTAACGGCATCAAGTATGAGCTGTCCAGGGTAAATAAATAAGATGGAGTAGCTAGGCCAAAAGCCAGTCGAGGAAAAAAATAACAGCTCGCAAGAAGTTAAAATGTAAAATAAAGCTTCTGCTGTGATAAAGACACGTGGAGTTGAAAAAAAGGCATCAGCAAGGCCCTAAGGTAAAAAAAGTTTCAAGATGGAATGTATGTATATAAAGAAAAATATAAAAATCAGCGCGGCTGGCTGGAGCAGCAAGGAACTGTTGTCTGAAACATTGTAATTGGTTTTTATTCACAAAATGTGACGTTTTTTGATAAATGAAATGTTGTTGTAATAAAACAATGTCGGGTATTATAATTTCTAACTGGCCAAGTGCGTGGACTTTGATGGTAGAAGAGGCCGAACGCAGAAGGCGTTTGCAATCTTCTTGCGCACGGTTCGACAGTTTTACGAAACTTGATCCCTGTGTGAAGGAAGGAAGTTTACTTCGAATTTACATCATTGCAGAAACAATAGGCAATTTGAAAAAATAAATATAAATAATGTTTCAACGTCATTCCCAAAAGTAATATATATTCCAACTGTTATATCTTGTAAATTTCACCTCTGACGACGGTCTTGTTGGACACATAGTGGACATAACGATCGTTTCAATATTATGTTGTTGTTCTTTGACACGTTTTGAAGAAATCGCATTTCTCTTTGGACCAATTGCTTTGAAATTTTCAGCGAGTGAAGATTTTATTTTTTGCTATGACGTCATCAAAATTCTGTGTTCATATATTTGAGCATAGCTCTCTTGTTGGACACGTAGTGGACATAACGAAGTGGCTTATCCATATGGCGACGGCCACGGCCTCTCGTCCGGTTACCATTCCAAGTCGGGTATGGGATTAGTTATATAGTTTGTTTTCGGAAGCATGGACTTCAGTGATTTCCCTACACCCCCCTATAGGGGGTGAACACCCCCCCTAAAATTTCAAACACCCCCCTAATTTTGGGGTGCGATTCCACACTGAGGGGTTCTAAACTGCAGTCTGCGGGCCAATTACGGCCCGCGTGACGATTTAAAAAGGGGCCCGCCGAACTTGAGTGAATTAAGTTTTAGATACCGTCTATTGTTACATCATTATCACAGTTTAAGCACGTTTATTTCGTAACAATTGAATTATTCCGGTATCTTATGTATACGTATGGGTATTAGGATTACACACTGCAGTATTTTAGATATCAGCCGTATATTAAAAAAGCTTAAAGATGTCACAAAACGAAAACTAGGCACTGAAAACAGACGTTTTTTAGATGAATGACAGCGTTTTTATTTCTTTATTGAAAAGAATCAAACTTCAGCGATTTGTCTTCTTACCAACAAAATATTTCAGTTTTGAAGGAATACAACATTATGCGACATTATGATCAGTTGACGAGCTTATTTCAAAATTTAATTCATACAAAAGTCAAATAAACATTTTCAAAAAAATTAGAATTGTGTAACAAAACAAGCCATAAGTAGCCATTCATACAATGCCAGATGAGCAAGTAACTTGATTAGTCACTATCAGTTGCAAATTACTTGTTGAAACGTAGTAGTATATATTTACGGTTGAAAGCCGTGCTTGTTATCTATTCCCCGGGAATTCTATCAGCTAAATGTTATAATTATTCATTTCATTACATAACAAACTGCGATGCTAGGTGTATCTAAAATCAAGATTAGAGCCTATTTTGGTGCCTATTTCTCAAAATTTTCTCAGGGCGCTTGAGCGCGCCCTGAACCCCAGCTGTGTCGTCCCGCACTTTTCCTCGCTACTCTTTTCTGGCTCTACAATTTCATTCTGTTGTGGATTTGGCTCGCGTCAATCAAGTTGGGGGCCCCCCATGTACATCGTTTCTTAAATACATACCATTTTTTCAATAATACAAATAGCCTAGTTTTATCTCTAATAGCAAATTATTTACCACCCCCTAAATTTTGAAACACCCCCCCTAAAAAGAAAAGCTGGGGAACATACTGATGGACCAGCAACCTTCTCGCACATAACCATCCCTGCATGGGATTCGAACCTGCGAACCCACGCAGAGTAATTAGAGGTGCGGTGGCGAGCGTATTCCTAACGCTTAGCCCGTTGAGCCACACCGCCGCGCCAAATGTATCCTGAAACATCTCGGACTTGCCATTCTGCGTAAATATTGTTACCAACACATGGAGATGTTCAAATCTATGAGCGACAAAAGTTATATCATGCCTATGAAAGTCTATTCATATACGGTAGAGGTCGGCAACCTTCTGTCGCTCGCGGGCCAAATTTGAGGGTTGCAAATCTTGGCGGGCCCCACATATTTTTTTGAGAAACTTGAAAACTGAACGGGCGTCTGATGAATAACATTTTTTACACAGAACAGAAGTTAAGACTCTAGATAGAAAAGACTCAAGTCGCCTTACTACAAATGACATTTAATGCGACACTTGTTGTTGCATTAGGGCCCATTCACACCAACGCAGTGCGTTGCGTTATATTTTGACGCAGATGCAACGCAATGCGCTGAACTTGTTCACACTGCGTTGCGTTGACGCATGTCAAAAGGTCATATTCCGGGTGCCCGTATTTTGGATCAGGAACTTGATAGGCATTGTGTTTAAGAGCAGAGTAGGTAAGACAGCTGTTGTTTGGATATAAATTTGAGACGTTTTGGCGATTGTATAATGCCGTTGTATATCAATGATAGTTATTATTTTCAAAACAATGAAAAATGTACAATGATTTTTATACAGATTGATTAGATATCGGTATGGCAGGTATGGACTTAGAACATCTCATAGTTGAGGTCAGAGAAAGGAAGTGTCTTTACGCTGTAAAAGAAGCAGCCTACAGGGATACAATTAAAAAGGGAAAGGCGTGGGAAGAGGTCGCAGAGGCGTTGGGAAGAAGTGGTAAGAAAATGAGTATGAGCCTAGAATAGTTATCTGTTACTATATTGCATCTAAAACCAATTAGGAAGAAATTAAGTAAATGCAAGATAACAGAATAAACTTCAAAGTTAATTGCTTTTCAGTGACAGATTGTAAGACCAGATGGAGATCTACAAAGGATAGGTATAGGAAAGAAAAAAGAAGGGAATCAGAGGCTACGAGGAGTGGGGCAGCAGCAGGGGGATATAGAGCATGGAAGTTCATGGAGGTGCTAAAGTTCCTAGACGAGCACGTCGACTTTCGAACGTAAGTATTATTTGCTTTCGTAACAAACGCAATAATATTTCTAATCCCTACCCCACAGTATCAACGGTCGCAAATGACTGACTGACTACTCCAGATCTCGGAACCCCAAACTATGACCATGTAACTTACTCTTTTCCAAAGAACGTCTTCAAATATTGACGAGGATGTCACTCTTGTGGTGCTCCAAGATGGAAATAATGTCCAAATGAGTGGTGAAGCTGACAACTTACCTAATATGAACACCAGTTGCACTACATCAGCATCTGATAAAGATGCACTTACAAAAGCGACTGATCTTGACGAAACTATCATGAGTCTTGTCAACAAAGGTATTTAATTCTAAAACCTTTCCATGAGGCATATTTGTGTCACACAAATGATTTCCAATCTAATAATCATACCTTTATTTACATACAGAGAGTGATGATGCTGAAAAATTTGCATTGAGCCTCGTAGATACTCTACGCAGGCTACCAGTACAACGTTTGCAACTTGCGAAAATTAAAATTCACGAGCTTCTGTACAACATCGAATTTGGGGAAATATAATTTACTTGGAACACATTGTTTTCAATTATTGATTATATGGTAATCCTGAAGTATGTGAACGAAGATGGCAGACACCGAACTTAGTATGTCTACCAGGTTAGGTTTAGGCAAAATTTTCAGGTACAAATACTAAGGGAGTCGCTTGTCTAGTCCCCGAACTAAAATAAGGAAAATTGGAATAAATTATGGCCTAAACCTAACCTGGTAAACATACCAGGTTCAGGTGTCCATCTTGGTTCACATCCTTAGGGAGTACCAAATATACTAGCATATCAGATTTGTAATACCTCTGCAGTTCAGTAATCATCTATAAAATTGTTAAAAGATCAGCAATGGTGCCATTGCCAGGGCACAGCACCTTCCCCTGCAAAGTAGTTGGCAAAGGTGTTGCGAACAGATTGTGCGCTCTGTGTTGCACGGCCACCACTCCCGGGTATGTCATGCAGCAGTTGAGTGGACACTGTAATATTATCGTCAACTGGTGCAGCCCCAGCAACATCTCTTCTCAAAAAATTGTGTAGGCAGCATGTTGCCTTTATGACAGAGTCGATATTGCTGGGCTTCAATGGTATTGGTCTGTGATAGACTCTCCACTGATTAGCTAAGATGCCAAATGTGCTCTCTACCATTCTTCTTGCCCGCGATAGGCGATAATTAAAGATTCTTTTCTCCTGCGAGAGACCATTGCCAGGAAATGGTCTCATCAGATTTTCTTTCAAGGGAAAGGCTTCATCCCCAATGAATACGAACGGAACAGTAGGTCCATTCGTTACTGGCAATGGCCTGAAAATAAATTTGCCCTATTTAGCCAGAAATACAAAATGAGGTTTAGGTAGGAGGTTTTTCTGCATAAACATGCTTCATTTTTATGGGTTATTACTAAGTTGTTAAAATAATAAGCCTTTATTACTTAGGTGTAAAGAAAAATCATAGCCTGTTTCGTTATAGAAAAAAACATCAGCAGTCATTTTCAAGTCTAGGTGGACTACTAGCTTAAATAACCCACCTTGGTGAGGGTAGACTCAAGGTTCCATTCTGCAGGCGACGGCCAAAACATGAGTTCGCAAATATTCCCCCATCGCTTGCTCTGCCATAGGCGCCAATGTCCACCGCAAGAAATTTATAACTGAAAAATATGAATTTCATTGAATTCTTGATGGCACTGTTTGGAATAAATGCCCATGTATAATCCACATAATATTGGGAAATAATTGGTTTCTAATTTATTTAGCCATTCATAGAAAGCAACCACAAGTGGTAAGTTACAAAAATTGTTTACCTATGAATACAAATTAGTGTGATACAAAATCAGGTTTAATATTTACCATGCATCAACGATAGCCAGGAGCACAATGCTATGCGTTTTTTTGTAATTGTAATACAACGATCCAGCATTGCTAGGACATTTAACAACAACATGCTTTCCATCAATAGCGCCCAAACAGTTTGGAAATTGCCATTTTTTGTGAAAAACATCGGCAACCTCAGTCCATTCGGAACAACTTGATGGGCATTTGAGGAAATCCCCTCTCAATGCATCCCATATTGCAGAACATGTTTCTGAGACAATGTTGCTCACAGTTGATATGCCAAGACGATAGCTGTTAGCTATAGTTCTATAGCTATCGCCAGTAGCTAAGAATCTGAAAAAATGAAAGATAAAGTAAAGCAATTGACACATTATGTAATAATAAATAACAAAATATGCTCATGTGTGAATGAATTTATAAATAATAGTCTATCATAAAATGGAAACATATTTTAATATGCGGCCAATGGCAAACACGAGTGCACATTATTATCAGATACAAGCTGATTACTGTGATGTTTATCCCTGGATATACAAATGTTTGTATTTGCTATCTGAATAAGTGTTTCTTAACCTGTTATATCATAGACATAAACTTCTGAATAGCTCATCCATATTTTTGGTTTCACAAAGTGATATAATGAACCGCTTTTGCTAACTTATCAGCTAATGTACCTCAATGTTACTGCAATTCTCTCTTCTGGTGGTATCGGCTTCCTGAATGCTGTAGCTTGTTTACTTATAACAGGCCCAACTAAAGTTATTAAAATTTGAAAGTCTTCGACTGACATGCGGAGGTAGGTCTCAAAATAGCTTCTCCTCTCCAATCTCATCTCTTTCAAAAGCCTGTGGTACTCGCCTGTTAACGTTACAATATTCAGATATTACCCGTTAAGGTACCGGTAATCATTCAATATGATATATATTTTCAAACCTCTCAAATACTACTTTTTGCACTAAAATGAGCTGTAGACTATCAGTAGAGGGTACCGTAATACTACAGTACTATGATAAGCACTGTCCAGACTGTCAGAACACCTTTCAGCTTTTTAACTACTGAACTAGATCAAATACCTGAATACTGGAATATGGCACCGGTCTAAAGGGCTAGTATGGTATGTTAACTGTTAAATCTAGAACCATGTAAGTAGCAAATTCTGTTTATTACAAACGGCTAGAAATACGGTGCAGTCGTATACGTACCGTACCCAGGTACGGTACCGTACTGGGGTACGGTAGGCCTACCTACTGCTGTACTGTGAAAATACTGCAATACTGGTACCGTACCTCTAGTCTCTCTTCTCTGCAAAATAGGATGCACCCACCACCTTCTTCTTTTGCATCTATTTTTTTTATCCTTGCGTCTTTTCAGCCACAACAGTAATCCCAATTTTTGATGTTTGCTCAAAGCCATCGCCAAACCACAGAACAAAGCACCGGAACTCAACTCAAATCTCAGACAACGCAGCGCGTCAACGCAAAGGAATGTTTCCTCGAGAATTCGTTGCGTTGACGCAGTGCGCCAAAATGATGCGTTAACGCAACAACGCAAGTTTACTTAAACAATTAAAGAATAACGCACTGGTGTGAACAGATGTGAATGGGCCCTTACGCTTGATAGCTTATCGACAACAGGTGACACACTGGACGAGGCCAAGATTAGAACATTTTCTAAATGGGCATCACTAATCCTAGTTCTCCACTTGTTTTCTTTGTAATGTTAAACTATGGTTAAATTCGCAAGCCGTCGTTTTGTCGCTAAATTTGAGGGAAGCATCGCGGGCTGGATTATTCTACTCCGCAGGCCCGATATGGCCCGCTGGTCGCAGACCCCTGATATACGAACTAGTTTAAAGCAAAGACTATGAAACCTCACAGTGATCATAATTCCAGAGTATTTGGATCACTTTAGTACTTATTTGAAGATTGTCAATGACAACACTAATTTAATTGGAAACAAAACCTCCATATCATATAGAGGCACAAAAATGTGATGTAATAAATATATTGAAGACGATCTCAAAATAAAAAAGAACTAACGCACAACACGTATGCTACCAAGTCAACAAAACAATGAACATTAAGATAACTGAAGCTATGTAGAATATACAGAAAGAAATAATGGTAAGTATATTATAATAATACATAAAAAAGTGAACTAAAAGTTGAATCCTGTGGATTGTTTAAGCTTGGACGTATAAATTACTGCATCCATCCTAGAAGATTTCCACAAATTTATTACAGAATGATCGGACATGAGACAAAACTACATTTTCACCCTTCAGAAATATTGTCATGTTACATAATCCGGTGTATAGCAGACTTTAAATATATTCCTACAATCCTACAAGAACATTGCCTGAAAGTGGGGAACTATAAAAGAAACAGTGATACCAGTTTCAATCTAATATGAAACAAATTAAGAGGATCTGGTGCTTGGTACATGTAAATTTTATTTTTTTTAGCTAAAAAGAACAGTACTACACAAAAAAGTCTTAACAATAAGTTTCTTTGTTTATTCTTCATTCATCTTCAACTCAACATCAAAACCGGCCACAGAAGCCCATGCTTTAAATCCGCTTCAACAACAAGGTCCTATTTCGATAAACTCAGTCCAAATCAAACTCTAAGTCATCTTGTGATAATTCAACAATCATTGGTTTCTTTGTCTCTTCTTCACGATCATTGTCAGTGGGAAGATCTTCTTCCTTGAAGATTTTCTCAAACAATGGGCCAGAACCTTCACATGATAGAGTTTCATGTTTATCTGCACCAAACGTAACATTAACAGTATTGACTTTAGACTTTTCAGCATCAACATTTGCACTGGGTTTAATTTTATCACTTTCCATTACTATCTCTTCAATTAGTCCATTTCCCAAATCATCCACCGATGTTCCATTGTCGATTATGACAGGATCAACTGCAGATGTACCGTTTTCAACTGAAGAAGTTTCTTCATTGTCGACTTCAGACAACAGGGTGCCTGCTTTCTTCTCATCGGAATTGTCAGTAATTTCCTCAATCATAATTTTTTTAAATCCTGAATTATTATCAAAATGAAAGTCCACGCTTGATGATTGTTTGCTTTCTATTGCAACACCAGAATCTGGGAATTCTTCTGACATATCAACATCTTCAAGATCAGGCAAATCATCTAAATCAAATTTTTCTTGTTCTTCAGTTTCATTTACTTTTTCTTTATCTTTATGATCATCTCCATCACTTTCTGGCTCGCTATTTTCATCATCGCCTAAATGTGCATCCTCATCTCTGTCTTCATTTTCCAGTTTTTCCAATTCTTGTCGTCGTATTTCAGCATTTTCTCTGATACCACGTAAGTAATCCACACTTGCTCGAATTTTAGCTCGTTCTTTATTGATCCATCTTTCTCTCTCTTCTTTTTCTGCCTTGTGGCCGCCTTTATGCCAAGCCTCAGCACAGGCCCGGTCTCTCGGAAATACAGGTCTGTCATCAAGATAAGTGAGATTTTTCAATCTGACCGTCAAAGTTTTACGATAGAATCGAATAGCTTTTATGACAGGATTACCCATCAGATTAAGGACACGAAGGTTCAACATTTGCTCGAATATATCAATAACGGCTGGATCGGAAATTTTGTTATGCGAAAGATCAAGAACACTGATGGCCGGGCAATCGACAAGATGTTGCAAGGTATCAATAGTTGTTAAACGATTATGTGCAACTTGTAACGTTTCAAGGAGAGGCAAGCAAGACAGGTTTTGTAGCATTGATATTATGTTATTACTCAAATTGAGTATTCTCAAATCTTGTAAGTCTTCCAAATTTTCAATATCTTCAATAAGATTTTGTTGCAAATAAAGGCATCTCAAATTTGTTAATTTTTCAAGGTTTTCTATTTTTCTCAAACCATTTACTTCCAGCCATAAGCATTTTAAACCTGTGTACTCATCCAAATTTTCAATTCGCCACCATCCCTTATAATGGAGATAGAGATTATCATTGAGATATGGTGTCGAGTACAGTTTGTGATCTTTGCACAATTTTTTCAGGCTTTCTTTTGTCATTCTAGGATATTTCGACATTTCTTTTTCCAATTTTTCTGCTCTTTTTCGTTCGGCTACAGCCCTTTCATTTTCAGCACGAATTTCTTCCTTTGTTGGTTGTGGTTTGTCTTGCAGCTTTCTAGTATCAGTTTGGTCTTCTGATTCAATCGCGGAATCAACAGATTCACTCCTAGGTGAGATAATATTTTTATTTTCTGATTTGAATTTTTCATAAACATTAGAAAATGGTGTTACATTTTCAGGTATGTAAGCCTCATGATTGTCATTTCCATTCTCATCATCTTCATTAGGTAAACTCATGCTGCGTGGAACTCTCCAACCAGGGTATAAACTTTCTAACTTGTTCATATCAATAGATGACTTTTTATTATTTTCATCTTCTTCATCTGTAAGTTCCAGATCATGTTTTTCTTTAACGTCACCTTCACCAGACATATCTTCATCAGTCTTCATCCCAAGTTCGCAATGGTCCAAACATGGTTTTTCTGTGTCTGTATGAATGGTTTTCGGTTTGTCAAGAGTGCCACTTTCACCAGCGCCATCTGTGGAAATAGGTGCTCCAATCTCATTGATTTCATCCTCATCAGGTAATTCCACAATTAAAGGCATCTCTATATTTGAGATCAACTACCTGTCAAAAATGTGGTTTCCAAAATATATTATTCAATGATAGATATATTACAATACACTAGGCTATTACAACATTCTGTACATGCAAATTACTAAATTAAGGTATTTCATATTGTTAGTAACTTGGAATTGATAAATTTTATATCAAACTGAAAAGTATACTAGTGTGCAATACATTCTGCATCAAATGAGAACCAATCTTAGACCGGTATACATTTAATTTAATGGATAGACTACATGGGACTGTACGTTTATTAAAGCAGTTTAAAATAATTTAAACAAGTTATGAAAGTAAATAACAAAAATACCTATTTTATGAATTTAGATAGGCTGTGTTCATCAAATTCGATGCCTTTTTGCTGCTGAATCGTTATTTATATCAAACTTTATAAAGTGAAATTCAGCAAATAAGTTCTGAAGTTATCATGATTTCACAGCAAACCTCTGTTATTATTCAAGTAGTATTCAAAATTAGCATTAATTGCGATATATTTTAAAGTACTAAATTATTGGAATATGAATATTTTATATGACGTAAGGACTGTTATTATTCAAACAACTAATAGTTACTGTAACATTTCAGCACTTTAAAAGCAGCTATCAGAACATCTAAAGTTTAGAGCCTGTGTATGTCTAGGCTGCCTGCCTAGGTATCCGTATTAGTGCGTATGCAAGATGGGCTCAAAATGTGTCAGATTAACATTCACTTTTTTTTTTTTTTTGCCAAATAGAATTCCAGTGCCAATATGAAATTCAATTATTTATAAAATTTTTGTCCAAATGAAAGTGAATTAATATTATTTATGTGTATTTCCAATTTTGGTTACGTTAATTGATATCGGAATACAATCGCATGGTTTGAATTCCGTTTAAATGAAGAAAAGTCACTTTACAATTTAAATATACAATACCCATACATTTACATTCACATATTCAATATCAGCAATTCATTGTTGGTAGTTCCAATTGATTTAGTTGATTGTTGTCCCAATTGTCATCATCGTGAATGTTATTAAATTTATTTTATATTAGCATGGAAAAGCAAAATTTATAAATATTAGACTGCAAATTTGAACACCTATCATGCTAATAGGATTTTCCTATTTCCTGTCCAAGTAAATGTTATTATTCAACTCTAACATAAAAAATTATCCATCAGACACCCAAATAAACATATCATATAGAAAATACAACAATTTATGCTTATGTTTACCACCTATGTAAACCAAATATTTTCAAATCATTATAGACTTTATGAGTAGGTTATCCACTATTCCTTTATTCTGTCATTGAGAAGATCTTGTCAATCAACATCAGACATTAATTTAATAAGGCCCAAAATCTTACATTTTAAAATAGCACGTATATCACATTGCATCTGATATATATTGTCATATTTTACTTTATTCCTATATTCCCATATGACTGACTTTCCACAATGGGTTATTAACAGTTTAGCATCACTTTGAAAATTATAAGTATAAGTTTATTTCGACTCCATAATCAGCAAAACAATAAAATGAATGGTAAAAATAAATAAATAACAACTGATTATGAAATCAGGAGAGCGAACAAAACCTTAGATAAGGTTTAAAACGTACAGAATGTATATAAGATGGAAGGTTTTGCCAAGAAGATGTGGTACGTGTTCACTCACCTAAAATTATTAGAAATAATTTTCTCCCTATTCTATTCTATGTTACTCCATTCCCAAAAGTCGATTACCCACTCACAATTACAAAATAAATTCACGCTAGCTGGTTGTAAACGAATCCACAACCAAAACTCAATTCTAGCACCTTCCATAACTTCAAACAAAGCCAGAAACGGCAGCGTTTATCACCCTGGAGACGATGTCCGGAACACGTTGCCGCTTGAAGCAGTGGTGAGCAGCATAATCATCACAGCAAATTTTGTTAACTCGCCTTTGCAAATTTATTTTGTTTTTATCGCGCTTTGAAAATGTACACGAATATGAACAGTTTTATATTGTGGGGAATGTGGTCTGAATAATGAAACTGATAAACTAAAATCGAAACAAACAAAAAAACAGTTATTGGAGCAATGAGATATTACTCATTGAACTTGTTTTTATTTATTGAAATTTATTCGGCAAAATGAAAAGGAACAGTGGTCATTCTGATGTTTGAATGTACGTTATCATCAACCCGCAATGGTAAATAAGTTCATCAAACGGCTATTCCCAACTTTTTTTGCACTTGTTTTTTGCAAGGCAAGTGCAACTCCTGCTTCTTCGTACCAAGAAGCGACGGTGTGGCTCAACGGGCTAAGCGTTAGGAATACGCTCGCCACCGCACCTCTAACTACTCTGCGTGGGTTCGCAGGTTCGAATCCCATGCGGGGATGGTTATGTGCGAGAGGATTGCTGGACTCCTCGCCGTCGTTGGGTGGTTCACGTAACCGCTGGTCGGTTACGGCTTCCTCCACCACCAAGTCCATGCTTCCGAAAACAAACAATACAGTAAATCTAATCCCATACCCGACTTGGAATGGTAACCGGACGAGAGGCCGTGGTTCGCCATATGGATAAGCCGTCTTATCGGCTTTCCTCTCCCCCGGGATAAATATGTAAATCCTATCCCTATCCTAAGATTATATATTTAGGCGGTATTATTAGTACGTATACAGAGGTGAGGAGTGGTAACGAAATTGGTCTTTCCTGTTTTCTCCGATAATATTAAAATCTCGTTCTGTACGGAATACACGTCATATTTGTTTTATAAAAATACCTAGTTTAGTCCTGCTCGAACCTTTTTTCTTCTGTATATATTTCAACACATGTATGTATTGCTTATTTGTTCTAACATAAAAGAGAATCAGTATAATATATAATCATTTTAGCTAAGACAAAAATATAACATACTTCGATCCAAATCGATATAAATGATCGAATAAAATGATATCAGATGTCTCAATCACACACGAACTACAGCCCGACTGAGAAAATATATTGCAGAAATTTCCAAACCAAGATATACCGCGTGTGCCAAACTCGAGTGACTTATCGAACAACCTGTTGGAGAAAGCTCGTTAAGCATCAAATCAGGACGGAGCAGGCAGGTTCACACTGCTTGTTAAAGTTTTCCTTATTTAAGCAATCCGTTTCCTATAGAAATCATGCCCAGTGCAATATTTTATTGGTAATCATTTAGCCAAAACACTATACCTAATTTAGCTCACACAATATAATAACAATATTACCAAAACATAATTGTAAAAAAACAATGTAAATTCACTAGTAGGATTTAACTCAAGAAGTAAGGAACATTACAAAGACTTTGAATTTAATCCTAAAAAATGTACCATACAAGAACAAACGGATTGTGGACATAATATCCTATAATAACACATTGAAGTCATATATAAAAAAAAATTAAGTTCCGAAATCTGAATGGGTGGCCCTGAAGTTGGTTTGGCGAACCAATACGACAGGAAGAGGTGACAAATGCGTCACAAGTATTTAAGTCAAATATAAAATAATGATTTGCTTTCTATTCTTCGGTTAGACAGAATTCTCCCACTGTTGCTGGTACCTAATACAATTTTTGTTGCACATCCACACTTTCAAGTAATGTGTTGAACGGATATGATACCAAATATAATATTTTCATTGATTTAATTTTCAAACACATGGCGCGAAATTTGTGTTATAAACTATCGTTGCTTTATATCGCCAAACAAGAGCAATGTATTGATCGTATCAATAAGGATTTGGATCATTTTGATCATTATTATCATTCTGATCATAGTCAAATGCCGCTTCTGCATCTAAATCATCATGGTAATCGTAATCTTGTTCAGCACCAAACTGTTCGCAAGCATCATTAGCGTCGTTGTTTCCTCCATCTAAATCATCATCATCATTTTCCATATCTTCTTCTTCTTGTTGAACGAAACGATCCCATTCGTCTTCACTGGAATAAAAATGAAAAAATGCAATTTTTCAACGTACCGAAGTAGTAATCTGTAAGAGCTATCCAATGATATATTCAATATTATACTTGCAAACTAGAAAAAACTGCAGTGCAAAAATAAAATATCACAAATATCCAATCCCGGGTAAAGGTTGTTACAAATAGTTTAATATTCAAGAACTGGGCATTACCAACAATTTGACTTTAAAATCATTTAGTGAACTTTTTGTACAGTAAAATTAGGCCATATGCCAAATAATATTTCATACTTATAGAATTTAACAAAAAACATCATTTTACTGCAAAAATAAAACCAATTTTTATTTCATTCGAACGAATTATTGGAAAACCATCTTTTTAAGATAATGACATTTGTTAATCTGGCGTTTCCTGCTCATTAATAAGGTATAGAGTTAAATCTAAGCATGTTTTATAGATTAATGCTCCGCTGAATTCAGCAGAATGCATGTACTAAATACACTTCTATGAGAAAATCCGCAAGCTGACAAATAATTCTACTTCATAATAACATACACAAAATAAAGACAAGGCTATTTAATAGAAGAGTATGCACAATTTAACCGACTAGAAATAAAATCTGCTCAATAACAGGATTCAAATACAACAGTAGAAATGATGTGTAGGGTAGATGGTAATAGCCAAAAATTTAATGTTATTTTACAAATTATTTGGACCTTGACGATTACACAGACGAACTATGACATAGACATGGGGATTCCCTATTGATATATTTTGGGATCTTTAATAACAAGCAAAAAAAGAAATGTGATGGAAGTATTAACTTCGATACATTTCTGAAAAACAAAGAGATACCGTAAAAGATAGCTATTGGACCTTTTTCAGTGAATATCGAAATCTGATGAAGTGGTTTGTACTCTCACTAAAATCAAGAGAGAGAAATTCCTAATTATACAAAAAAATTTAAAAAAATACCCCAGAAGAAATGGTCATTTTGAAGATCTAATTCAGTGGTTCTGAACCTTTATGAGGGTCCTTGTGCTATGCACAACCCACACTCTGGCTTTTGCAAGATTTTAATACAGTACGTGAGTGATACCTCGGTAGTGTTTGACTACCTATTTGTTTGAGTACCGAAACTTAATTTGCCATAAGAAACAATGGTAATTATTTTAATTCGTTCTAACAAACTGGGTTTCAAAATACCCAGAATATGAACAAAGCATTTTACCTAACAACAATAATTATTTAAATGCGTACATAATAAAGATTGAACATAAGAATGATAGATATATAAAAATGTTCGGGTCACGTCATCTCACTCGACGCCACGCTTGGGTGTTCGAGCACAGAATATCCGTTTGAGTACCGCAGCATTTTTGACTAGAATTTTTAGTTGACTACCGAAATGTTTGAGTATCAATCGTTTGACTATCGAGACAGTAATTTAGTTTGTGAATGTGATGTGTGTATAAAAATGTATCACAACAACACTGAATAACTAAACAATATTAGTAAAAACACACCAAATACAAAAAAAATTTATTCCCCGAGAACAACAAAATTCCTACCTAAGAAGGAATTCCTCCCCAGTTGGGAAACGTTGATCTACAGTTTTCTCACTTTCTTTTTAAAATTTTATCTATATATATGAAAGCTGGGCTTTCCTATATATCAGATAATGATAACTTGATGAACCATAAAACTAGGTGATACAAAGGTAAGGAGCACATACAAGCATGTAAATGGCAGTAGGTAGATAAGATGACAGGTTTTGGTTTCAACTAGATCCAATCTTTGAAAGTTGAGTAAAAAGTGGTCTCGATAATCATCATACCCGACCCAGTCAGTACTTATCTGACATGATATGGAGAAACTCGCACTAACGACCAAATTTTTTTGGATTGAAAAATGACTAAATATTAATATTTAATAGGGAGAATATACCTTCCTCTTGACCGGAAATATTCAAACCTTAACCTATTTTGGAAAAATAAGGTTATACCAATATACAGGTCAGTAAACAAATGTCAGAATGAAAAAAATAAATTGAACTACCTTAAAAAATAAACCTGTATAATTCTGTGAGATTGGATAAAGAAAAAAAATGAAAATTGGTATTTAAAACCAAAATTCACATGGATTATGTATATATTAATTTACTCGTGATCAGCAACAGTTATAAATTTAATCTGGGTACGACTGTCTGTGGTTGAAAATACACTGACAATTGGATAAATAATGTATATGGATTGACAGGAACATTCACGCTTCCTACTGCATGCATAATAATGCATTCAGACTGGTATAAATAATTTATGTCTAAATTTAATTATCGGTAGGTCCATACTGCACCAAGAGTCACAGTTATCATGTATGTCTATTGTGGAAAAACTTCAAATGAATTTAATTAAGGTTTTGGCCTTCGAACCTACTCTGCACTTATTTTAATAAACGAACCAGACAGTTGATCAGTTGACAAAATGATCAGTTTATTTAATTTTTATAGAAAAAAATTCTCGCCGAACTATTTTCAATGTACTTTGGTGAAGTTTTATATAGGTAATTGAAATATCACACCCTAGAAAATTTTGGGAAATACCATAATGGTACGAAACAATATTCTGCTGATTAATATTGCATGACTTGATGTCTGTCAATAGTGTTGTCTGGCTTTAAAAGCCTTTGACGCCAGACAATGGTTATCCTGAATCAGCGGTTAAATATAGAATTACAGAATATTGGATATATCAAGAGAAGGTTTCTCAATTCTGTTAACTGTGCCATTTCTTGTTTTGAACATCATAGGTATCATACTTCAATGAATAATAGCATTGAGCATGTTTGAATGTGTGCTGGAAAAAAACTATCCACATATTTTATATAGAATCTTCTATTTGTGCGTTTTTTGAACAAACTCGTTTGAAAACGAACATAGTAGAAATATTATTGAAAAAGCAATTATAACAGCTCTGTGAATAATTTGACAATTGTTATCATTTTCAAGTAATACAAATGGGGATGGGTAAAAGTTTCTGGATATATCATACATAGGCTAACACTACTTGATAAAGTAACATGCAATTCAAATATAAAAATATTTAGAGATGTATAATTCGTAATTTATTAAAATTTGAACCTGTACATAGAATGAGGAAGGATGCAACAAAAAAATCATTAAACAACCATGACTACATAATTATATGGTAATACATAACTTTTGAGCATTCTTGAGATCATGATTAAATTTGGCAGACTTTCAATTAAAATTTAATCCACAATCCAATACCAGTTTCTAATCACACTATTATGATTTAAAAGCATTTATTGATTGATTGATTTATGATTTCTTTATAGGAGAGTGGAGTTATGAGTGAAGAATCAAACAAAATCCTACAATTTTCTAATAAAAAACTTGAAACTTTTTTTAAAGCATATAGAGTTGAGATCTATTATAAATACTATTCTAGTACCATAAAATGATTATAATAGGATTGTCCAAATTGCTATTAAAGATAATCTAATGATTTTTCTGGACAATAAATTAATTTGAAATATTGATTGAACTGTTTGAATATGGATATCTCTAGATAATACTCAAGATTAATTGGATATTCAATAATGACCATTTAAATATACCCACATCCACATGGGAGCAATATTAATAAATCAGGCATAAAAGTTGGTTTGATAATAAAATGATATCATTCTATTGATTTTACTATCCACAATATTTTTCATTTCATTTATATCAAACGAATCAATAATGTAATCACAAATATTATTTTGATTGTGATTTGATCTGGGTTTTATCCTATACAACAGCAATTTCTTAAATTTGATTTGAATGAAAAAACAAACCCATTGACTTGGACTTGTTTGCAAACTAAATATTTGCGGTATAACATTAGGATTTGAAATCTGATTTGAGCCACATTTAAACTTGTTTAAATAAACCTAAATGGAGCTAGTGCGTCAATGATGGTGTGTGCCTCTTACATTAGTTTATTTTACATCTTTAGTTGATAGCTCATATCCTTGCCCTGAGCGAACTTGGATATGAATTCGTGAAATATGCATATATAAAATTATTTCATTTCTTCTATATATTATTGTGGAATACAATGTGATTTACCAAATACACTGTATTTTTTATATCATTACATCATATCATTCGGTAATGGAAATTTTATGACTCATAGCAAAATGAATATTTTACCAAACAAGATAAGATGGAATTTTTAAGTCAGTTAAATATTCAATCTGTATTTCAAACAAAAAGTTTTCAATAATGCATCTCATGTTCTAGAAAAATACAGTTTTGAATAATTTAAAGAACTTTAAAGATACAAAGATAAAGACAAAATTATGAATATAGCATTCTACATAATGTAGAAATTTACTTTTTTAATTTGACTCTTAGAAAATAAAGCTTCCACATGCAATGAGGAATCAATAAATAACAAGGAATCATTATATATTCCTAACACAAATTAGAATATTTTGTTGTGGTACGAAGAGAAAAATTACGGTAGCAACGAATATCAATAAAATATAAATGCACCATTATCAGTCATATTTTAAATTTTAAATATCTACATTTAATCAATATTTTTTAATAATTCTGCACACTTATTATCGAGGTACGTATCGATTGAACTATGATAGTAGAATCCATTACCTTACCCATGATAAATATAGCACATAATTTATGAACGTAGTATTTTCCATTAAGTCGAAGTACAGCCAGAGAAAATAAGTGTGTGTGGTGGCCATTGATTTAAAAATGATTATAAACATTTTCAGGCATTCAATTTTGCAAAAAAAAAAATTAAAGTTAGTTTAAAAATATTCTACCCTTGGTGAAATATGCATAACATGGTCTCTTCCTGGTTAATCTTCACGAGTACACACAAACGGTTATGAACATATTATTTTTTAAAATCAAGTGTTATTGATTTTATGAAATAACTTAGAATCATGAAGTGAAACAAACCTTGTAGAAGAAGATCCTGAACTATCATCATCATCATCTTCTTCATCTGGATAATCATTCCTCCAGTTATCTTCATCATTACTATCATCCTCATCGTCATACAATTCTTCCTCAGAATCTGATGCAGCCAATAATTCACCCACTGCATACCTTTGAATGGAAGTTTTAACTTTCATCATTTTGGATGTTATGTTCAGAAATTAAATTATTCAAATTTTTACATATTTTACTACTGAATATGAAGAAAATCATTACTTTGAACACAATGCAAATTAAGTAGCACAAATCTTTTCACATTACATATGTAAGTCTTTCAAGTTTCAATATCTTTATACTATCGAGTCTAATGTGAGTAGCCTAATATATATATCTTTTAAATTTTTAGACGAAACCTAACAGACGCTCACTGATATCTCATGATACATAAGGAGATACCTTCAATTGGACTGAAATCATTCTAGTTCACATTCGCTACCGATTTCACTAACCCTGGGTGAGATGGAGGGCAGGAGATTTGAACCAGAGATGTTCACTTTGAAGAACATTTTTGTAATATTATTTTTGCATACTCATTACATAGTTTTACATGTTTCAAATCGAATATCAGTCGAAAAATTTGAAAAAAAAAATGTAGTACAAAAAAAAAAATCACCGTAGTCGAATTCTATTCAGGCAAAATACGCTTCCCCAAGATGAAATTTTCTTTACAAGTTGATGGGATTAGAGTTACGCTTTTATTTAATTCAGTCTTCTATTCCAGGTGGAATTCTAGTCTCTAGTGATGAGTTAAGAAGCCCATAAAATGCTCTTAGTGTCATAATAAAATTAGAGGTTTTTAAAAACAAAATTTTGTTTGTAAAAATACGAGGAAAAAACAAAAATCTCTGAATTTTTATTTTTATTCACTTTAATATAAAGTTAATTAAACATTATACAGTACAAAAATAAGATTACCAGCCTTGACAAACCAATAATTCAATCAAGAATGCTACTTTGACTATATAAATGAGTTACAATTTCAAGGTTTAATACAACTATTTTATTTCGCGGTTTGTCAGGATAGAGCATCGATCTGTAGAATTGTGACGTGGCAAAGGTAAATAATCAAATTTCTTAACAGGGTTAAGACTGATTTAATCGGATTATTGAGTGCAGTGTAGCATGTTCTCGGTACAAGTGGAAAATTATTTCACTTTACATTAAAAATTTTCAGTAAAGGATATAACATCTACAGGTAGTGACACTGGTATTGTGAACTTGACTGTAAATTTGCAGCATTTGCTACTGCATTTCTTGCAATAAGTATATCGCATAATTATCATAATATATTGTAAGACCACTATTCAAAAACACATGAATTCACCCATAAATGCACGTGTATTCTTGTTAAAATATGGATACAATTTAAGAGTTTATTTTTTCCGACCAGTAAGAAATATCACACAAGCCCATATTACGAGAAACTGAATATGAAAGTCATAAAGGATTTGAGTGAATGATGAGGATTTGAGTGAATACACATATGAAAAGCAGTAGAAGTGAATAACAGAATATCCATACCTGTAAGGTTGAACGTATAGAATGTCTGACATATTCCAATTGGAGGTGGTATCTCTGCAGTAATACAGGTCATAGACAAATTCTGTTGATTCTGGTTTTGACTTTGCTGAAACATTCAATTTTTCACGAAACATTTTAACATTATTGCACATTATAGAATCAACATTGCCACCATTGACATTGTTTATCCTGGGTATATGATCATCATTATGATAAATTGTGCATTTTTCGCAACTTTCAGCCCTCGAGTCAATTTGCTTTTGACTCTTCTTAGAGTTTACGGCAAGTTTATTATCAGAAGAAAAATTAAGGCACTTTTCACGAAGAACAGATTGACAAGCTGCAATCGTTGCATCTTTGAGATGCTTTATTTTTGGCAGTTCAGGAAAAGGGGCAAATTTTGGCAGTTTTCGTTTTCGTGACCCAGCCCGTAATATTTCTTTTTGTTGGTTTCTGTGAAATATTGCTTCTTTTACTCGTTCCACAACAACATGCTGTGAATGAGCTATATCAGGCTCCACAGTTCCAGCAAAATGAAAAACTTTTTCTTCAATTTTGATGACGTCCGCTATGTCACTTTTGGTAGGTTCTTTGTCAAAATCATTTTTCAATTTTTTTCGAGCCAATAACAAAGCTTCAGAAGGTTCACAATCTCTTTTCCTCTTCACTCGAATAACAGAGGTCATTATGAAGTATTATATGAAATATTTATAAACAATACTGAAAAAATAAGAATTTTAATTATAACAGTGGAAAATTTAAAATATTGAAGCTAGCATTGAATTAAAGTTGAATAAATTATACACAATTAATAAGGCTAAACATTTCAAAACTCAAACAGAAAATTGGGAACGCACAATAGGAAGTTGCTACAGTTCAACTCACAATAGTTCAATAAGTTTGCTGAAAAACATTTTTTTAATTGTAAATAGAACACCAAGCAAATTATTCACTAAATTTAAATCCTCCAGATACTTTGAACAAAAAGTCAGAATATGTGACAATTAGAGCTCAAATCGATTTTCACAATCCATGTTGCAACAATATCGGAAATTCAATTTTTATTTCAACCAATGCCCTGTGAAATCATCTGGATATTGAGATTGATGTGATTGACATATCATTTATAAACCCTTCGCTTTTTTTCTTTTTCTCTCACTTATTATTTAATATTGAATCCTGGCTTAACCTAATCTAGGATGGAACTCTTTTAAATTTGAGAGAAGGTTCTTAATTGTTTTTTGTGGAATAATTTATGAACCTGGTGCCACACAGGGGAAATATCACTGGGAGAGAGAAAACGGATCGCAATGAAGCATGAAAATTTAATTTTGAATGCAGTGTGCCACGCAGACAGTTCGTGAATTCCTTAAAAAGTGCAACAATTATTGTCTGAAATGTATAAAACACTATAGATCGGATCATATCGAATCATAATGATTAAGCATACATTGGTCATTTTGGCCAACATTAAATGAACTTGGCAATATACATCACTTTGCTAGACCAATGAAAATGAATCACAAATTGCAGATAAATGAAAATTGATGAAGATTTTCCAAACAAATGCACAGATTTTGCACATGACAAAATTGAAATACAGTGATTTATTTATTCTTCTGACTCCGTCGTATTAAAATTTTTGCATATAAATTCACGGGTAGAATCTTGATCACAAATTCGAGGATTCCATGAATTCTGTATCCAGCAGTTGCATCAGCTTTTCCTACAGTATCCATTATATGGGATGAATACGTTTCAAAAGTTGGAAAGTATGCAGTACCTTCCTTTCCTTTGCTAGATGTCATATTCGTTTTGACAGGACCAGGACGAATGCTCTGAATAATAATTCCTTTATTTTTGTATTCAGAAATCAAAGCTTTAGAGAAGGTGTCATCAAATTTTTTCGATGCAGAATAAATCCCGTTTAAGGGCATTGGACTTACAGCAGCAAGTGAAGCCAAATTTAAAATCAAGCCCTTTCTTCTCTTCAGCATTTGCGGAAGAACAATCTCTGTCATTCTTGCAATTGATAAACAGTTACAATAAATCAATCTAGGAATGCCAGTGCTCATGTCTTTATTCTCCGATTTACTGAAAGCGTTTAGAAACTCTCCAGAAGCACCTAAACCAACATTATTCACAAGGATTCCAATTTCTAGATCCTTAATTCCATCACTTATGACATCATAAATGGATGATGTACTATCTCCATTTTTCACATCATCAGGACGAGAGAAATCAAAAGCAATACATTTCGTTTGCACACTAAATTTTGACTCAATGTCATCAGCAACGTTATTTAATTTTTCGGGATTTCGACTGACTAATACAACATTTAATTTTCTCTTCGCCAGTTCATATGCAATGCCTTTACCAATTCCATCTGTAGAACCAGTAACAAGTGCCCACTTACCAAAACTCTTGAAGTCAATTGTGGTGGCAGTGTAATAAATATTGAAGAATTTGATCAAGCTGTATGCAAACTTTCCAAGGGTAATAAACAAAGTCAATGCTCCCACAAAATATAACGAATCAAAAGAATAATCCATTCTAAGTTCCTAGATTGGTAATGAAAATATATGAATGAAAAACAAGGCGTATACAATATTGCACAATAAAAAAAGTTATGTTTTAAAATATAACTAATAATTTAGTTTTATGAAAAATATCAATTAATAATGTATTTATCTTATCATGAGAGATTATTTCTCAAATTGCTGCATCAACAGATGCATATATATAATGGATTCAAAAATGCACTATGATTTTCTATCCAATAATAGTCAGATTGGAGAAAATACTTTGAATCATGTAATATCAATATAAAGCTTATCCCAGATTAAAACAATAATTATTGAAATCCTATGTAATTATATATAATCAAATGATTCAATAAATAATTTAAATAAATGGCTTTACATTCAATTGCAAAACAAAAAATGTTGAATTAAGGCTACATTCTTGTGTAAACTGTACAATATTTATATATATGAAAATGGCATATAAACTTTTGGCAAGGTATTGTGGTTGTGTTGCAACTTATATTTTATGATTTCAAAAGAGAAAAAATAAGTTTAGAACAATATGTGTTTAGTATTTCATAAGTAACCAGATGGTAATAAATTTTAATAAATAACCTAATGCAGCTCAATACACATGCGTATGATCTTGGGTGTTCCATTATATAATGAATGATACAAACATGCATGTTGGATTTTATATGTTATGTCATATTACAAACTGATATCAATTTGCAATCATTCAAAAATTATCAAGGCATTGTCAAATATATCCATTGAGTTTTTTAAACATGAATTTTATGCACATATGAAAGGCGATTGGGAATGAAATTAAGGATGATTCCAGTGTTTATGTATACAAATGTAGAAAGTGCATCAAAAAAAATTTAATGTATTAGGTTTTTTGGGCCCCACGCATGAAAATCTTGGACCTAACTCACTCCGGCAACAAGGAGACAACAGTTTTTAAGATTCCATGAATTCTGTATCCAGTAGTGAAATTAGACTTTCCTATAGTGATCATCGAGTGCACACAATACGTTTCAATGGTTGGTAAAATACAATGTTCCCTCTTGTCCTTTACTATTGGTCATATTCGTTTTCACTGGGCCAGGTTGGATAGTTTGTATGATGACCCCTTTCTTTTTGTAATTATCGATGAGTGCCTTGGAAAATGTGTCAACAAATCTTTTGGAAGCAGCATAAAGTCCACCATAAGGGACAGGTACAAAACCTGATGAAGATGATATATTTACAATCAACTCATTTTTCTTTTCAAGCATATGAGAGAGAACAATTTCAGTCATTTTAGTAACTGATAAGTCATTGCAATAAATAAGTTCAGAAATCCAAATCTTTATTGCCTTGTTTGCTGAAGGCATCTAAAAACTCTATCTGCTTTCATTCCAACATTGTTAAAAAGAATCCCAATATCTAAATCTTTGATTTCATCACTGATAACATTATATATAGAAGATACACTGCCTCCACTCTGAACAATTTCAGGACAGCTGAATACTGGAATAGCCTATATCAGTATTTAGTCCATATTGATTAACAGGTTTATTTCAAAATGACCTATTTCATTTGATATTATTTTCAGCTTAAAATACTGCAACATGTTACTGTGTTAGGCACTTAGCATGAAAACTAACACAGTTCCACTGGCTGACTCCTGACTGTTCAACCTTTAATGTTTGACATATACATATGCACCTACCAGCCTACAGACAGACGTATCTGAAGTTCCCACTTATTTTCTAAGCCACTCAACGATAGCAACAAGATACAGAGGATATTAAACTATTACATTACGATTAGGGCACGGTAAGACTACAACTCGACTTTCGTAAGATTGCACAGGTACGGTACCTACCATATCTGCCCACCTACCGCTGTACCGGTACCGGTACCTAGCCTGTGACTGCAATATGTAACTATGATATTTTCGAATTCATAAGTTCACGGACTTTCTCTTCCACTACATCAGCTCTGAATATTTGAAGTTTTATCATATCCCGTCTAGTTGTTAACTATATCAGTACCGGTATATAGCCTATTTGCTAATCGGCCTACGCCCTATATAGCATCTTCTATTTGCCTAAACGTTAATCATGCAAAATCAGAAAACTGTTGCACCATCGTCCATGCGTTCACACGAGTTCGTTTGTCAGAGCGGGGTTGCTTGATCCCTAGGCCATATTTAACACCGATAACAAGTATATTGTTGGTCATCTTGTTGAATACGTATTTTTTGCTCTTTTCGTCGTTCTACGGAATTGATTTGGAGTGGACAATGACTTGGAACAACGTGTTATTGGTGTGAGGATAATAGCACCATGTTATCATGAGGTTATTCACGTAACCGCTTGAAGGCACTAGTGCCATCGTAAGCTTATCGCATACCCTCTCGAATGATCATTTTCTTATTGAAGACATTGGGATGAAGACGTTTGAATAATTGTTAGACACGAGGTGTATATATGGATCATTTTGTTTTTGATGCCGGAGCATCGATTTCCTCGTTTATTCTGTAACAATCAGCAAAAAGTAAACGATGACGTAACTATGGCAATTTTTGCAGCCGCTTAGACCAGGGGTGTGCAAAGTGCGGCCCGCGGGCCAAATGCGGCCCGCGGAGAAGTGCTAACTTTGAATGGCGTCTAGCCAGCGAAATGCGTTTTTAATTTATTTTAATCTGGTTCCCTTTGCGTGGCAAAGCTTATATCCGAGTCCAATTTATTATCTATGCATATGGCGTTCAAATCTCCTAACAGTGAAGTAAACAACGCGATTCAGAGAGCTAACACTTGCTGTGCAGCATGCAATGTGAGGAAAATGCGAATCAGACGCTAGTGAATTATAGTAAGAACGGGCAATTAACGATCAGGCAATCGGAAAAAGTTTAAAAAAAAATTATATTAACCCTTTATTAAGAAGATTAACATAAGCGACGGTAAATCTCACTTTCGTTTACGACGGAAGTTTTATTTGCGGCGGAACGAGGGAGTGTTTTTCAAATTTATGCACACGGGTCCTTCCATCTACCAAAGTATTTTGAGTTAGATCACGAAATTGCTACAGCAATATTATGCTATTGTTTGTCAACCACGAAGCGGTAACAGTAAAGGCTTTAGCGAATACTTTTTTTTTAATCGCCAATTGCAAGCTCTTCAAATAGGTTTTCCAACGAGCCGTCAGTGGGCAGCAGAGGGTCATTAGTTTTTCATTAGTCGATCGATTAGTTGTGGGGGTACAAATGCATAAAATCGGCGTAGCAAATACGATTATTTAATAATAAATAAAAATCGCATGGAAAGGGTTAAGAGATACAAAAGCTAAATAAGTTTTGGTTCCAACCTATCAGTTGATTTTGTCCAAATCCAATCTAGAATCAGATTTGACAGCAAAAGTATTTAGAAATGGTTCCTAGCGACATTTACCGAAAACATCTCAACCAAGATAACTTTCCTTATTTTTTCATATTTTTTCTTTTTCTTGCTCTATATATATCCACTTGTGTCTTTTCCATATCATGCCCTGATGAAGTTTTTATGTATAGAAATTCGAAACGTCGGCAAATTACATCGTTTTGCTAACACCGGTTGTGCTTCATTTAGTATGCACACCTAGATGTCGCACAACCTGAACACTAACCTGGTACACAACCTGAGTTTAGGTTGTGCGCCATCTTGGTGCGCATACTTCAGGAGGTCCTTCGTTCATTGTAGTACTATTGAAATCTGCAATATTGTATTTTTTTAACTTTGTTTTGTGGGAATATATTGATCTCTCTCCCTTTCTGTTACGAATACTAATTACGCATAACGATGTCGATAACATTCTCAAAGCAACATCCCTTTACTTGGAAAACTCATTGATTACAAGATTCCAAAATGCCGTTTTAGATTATATTCTTTTATCACTGACACATCAAGCATTGAGGCTTACCCTCATTGGACACGTAGTGGACCTATGGATCGTGTTGTTCATGGTTGTCCAACCATCATGGCCGAAGGGCGGCATGTGCTTTACGCATAGATATTTCAATGTGAAGTATGTTTCAATGTGGCACTGCTTTTATCCAATAAGTTTGTCAATATTCGATGCGATGGACCATGTAGCAATGCGCAGCGAATTTTTCATACGACTGTCAGAAATTAGTGATCTCACGGGGGATTTGACATGGTTCATCCGTGAAAAAACTTGCTCGTACAAGTAAGTGCTGTCAAATATTTTGGTCATGAAAACTGCCACCTAGCTTCAGTGAAAAATGGCAGGAAAATAGATTGAAATACATGGCAGACGATGAAAATAAATTTAAATATCTCTCTCCCGCAATAACGCCCGCAAAGAGACTCCAAAAAAGCTTTCGATATCTGGGTGGTGCTTCTCGTGCGTTTGAACGAGGAATAATTTTTTTATTAAAGCTTTCAATAATGGCTCAGATTTGTGAAAGACATCGGGCTACGAATGCGGGTCACTCGGAAACCTTCTGCGGGCCACACATGTGATCAATGCAATGGCGTTAGTGATGTAACAATATGTCAGAAGATCATTCTGGTTATTTTTGTGACACAACAAAAACGAATCCGATTTTTTTACCCTTCGCCACGGCCTACACCACCAGGCACCAATTGCTATCTATAACAATGACTAGCATACCGCTCATACCAGCAAATGTGACGCGGGACACATATAATGATACGGCGGGTATCACCCGCATGTTTGGGTTTGGACCACCCTGTCCCAGGTTTTGATTATTTTCCTGATTCTATAGTTAATTATTATCAGTTATTTTATCGACTATTATGATGATTATATTCAGTGGTGGGATTCAATTTTTTTGTCAGCCGGTTGCTTCACAAAAGTCATATTTTTCAGTAATGTTAAATGGTTCGCTGACCTCATAAATTTCCGTGGGAACCGGTGCGAACTATCTGAAACTTATATTGTGCTCCTATATGACATGTTCGATACTGTAGGTATTCTGATTGCAAAGCAACCATCATTTTTTTATCAGTCTCTCTGTGGCGTGGAGCATCGTGCTTAGGAATACGTTCGCCACCTCTAATTACCGTAGCCAACTCTGTGTGGGTGGACATCCCTTGGGGATAATTATGTCCGAGAGGATTGCTGGACTCGCCGCCGTAGGGTGGTTTACGTCACCTGTCATCGGTTACGGCTTCTTCCACCATCAGGTCCATGCATTTGAAATAAACATCTGGATAACTGATCACAAAATGAACTGGTAGTGGCCAAATGATTAAATCGACTTTCCTCTGACGGGGGATAAAGATCTAAATCCGGTCCTATGTAAATCGTATCCGGTCATCAGTTTTTCTGAAAAATTAGCCTGAATTTCAGGGTGTCACGCAAGAGTAAACATATATAAAGTTGGCTTCTCTTTGCCATGCGAACGAGCGCTTTTCCGTTTTAAAGATTTCTCTCGCCTAAAATTTAAAATTGATCATTCATAATAATAAAATACTTCCGTTGCTGTTGTGCTGGCGCAATAATTCACTTTGTTATATATTGTTTTGTTTTGGGATAAGTGTGGATCTTCCTCACTGCCTTAATATATACCGTATGTATAGGCGTCATTGTATGTTTTGATGTTTTTGTACAGTTGTATGCATACGGTAGAGTTACAGCTGTATAGTATTCAGGTATTGTTCATTGAGGCTACCTACACCTTCCTGGTCGAGTACCATGCCGTCATAAGCCGTCTGTTTAGGTATGCATAGACTAAAATCCATATATAGGCTACATACTGATAATTACTCCTGTACTGCATTCCCGGCGATATGAAGTACCGTAGCCTAACAGCTTGCAAAAAACTTATATATAAAGATATATATATCGTACAGGTATATCTGTATATGGGCTACTGTATAATTTTTTCATGTCTTACTCTAGTATCAGAGTATGTTGTGTGTGAGTACTTCAATATGCAATACCGGTATGTACAGTACTTGATTTGTTTGGACACCTTTGATTTTGTATTGCAGTAATGAAAGAATGAGGCACATTCATTCAGATGTTTTGGGCTGACCCATGAAACTTATCAGGAAGCAATTCGTGGCAGTAGAATTTTGTATAATGGTATATACTATTGAAGCATAACAGGTTTAAATGTATCAACATAGATACATGGTTTGTCAAACATAAAGAAGTGTTCGGATTATGGCTAGGGAGATCAGGTGATTTGATTCATATATCCAAACATCTGTTCATTGAAAATAGCTTGAAAGTGAGCTTTCATTTGGATGAAACCAAGAGCCATTAGACTTAATGATTTAGGTTACCAGAAGATAAGATATAAGTACCGGTACAGCGGTAGCAGACTTATAATGAAATATCACAATACAGATAGACAGTCGATTACAAGGTCAAGATGCATGAAACAACAGTTCACACAGAAGTTTAATAGATGGAAGCTCAAAAGATATTATGCCATCAAGAAAGCTGTTTAGCTATTAGAGAATTTATAAAACATATTACAATACTGGAAACATTTTATAAAAATTCCAATATATTTAGCAAACACAGAAAAAAATATATAATCAGCTCAAATGTGGTTACAGTATACCATGTGGTTGTGGATTTTCCACAAATAGTGTAAAGAACAGAGGGTTAGAACCCGGAACACAAAAATGGAAATATCACGCAGCTGTTGTTACATCTATTACTGTATTATAAAATGGGTTCGGATATTTTCATCATGAAGCAAGGTCATTATGACAAAAAGCTTGTGATTTCTTAGCAGTACTGTCAGGCAATTAATCATCGAACTTAACCCCTACTGAGAGAAGTATTACAATGTGTTTCCTTAATCAGAGGCATATCCAAATCAATTAAAGTTATCTATCATATGCTTAGGCAGTCCAGTGGGAACCCGTTTGATTAAAGTTGTCGAAGGGGTGGATAATGGATACCTCTGTATAAAATATGCTGTAATCTCACATTGATACTTTCCAAATTCATTTCAATCTAAAGACAGTCATATAAATTCAGTTTGGTCGAGTTGAGAGTCCAGGTAAAGTCTACTATCAGACCATTGTCTCTGGATCAGTGTAGGTATATGTAAGAAAAAGATGGTCAAATATGTTGTAAACTAACTCAACATATCTAATTTTATTATTTGTCAAACCACGAAACACACAATACATGCATAAATATATAAATAATAAATAAACAGATGCTTTGGTATAAGAGGGTATACACAGTGGTGGGATTCAATTTTTTTGTCAGCCGGTTTCATCACAAGAGTCATATTTTTTACCCTGTTCTGTTACAAAAAGTCATTGACAGTAACCAGTAATGCTAACCGGTTCGCTAATCTCATAAAATTTCATGAGATGGTTCTATACAACCGGTGCAAACCGGCTGAATCCCACCACTGGGTATACACTATTGCTTTTATCAAATTTGTCTAAGCTGAAACTAAGCAATATGACCTTCTGGAGACATGAGAGTCTGTTGTCACTAACTAATTCAAGAAGCTACAAGTGTTTTCTTTCGTTGGTGTTTCTCACTTTATTATGTTTGTCCACAAGCCATGTTTGGAGTGGATTCCATATTAAGAGGGTATGCACCATTGCTTTATCAAATTTCTCTAAGCTGAATTTTATTTGGATTCTACGTCTTGAAACAATTTATTTTCTGAATTCGCATTTAGTGTTTCAGTTAAAATTGAGTACAAGTCTACAATGAATAACATAATTTACTGGACAAATTAAAAACTCAGTCCATTGTCACATTATTACCTAAATATGTGGCATTACCAGAGCTTGAAACAGTACCAATTTGTTTTCGTACCAACTTCTTATCATTTCTTGCAACCTTTGACACAATAATCAAAATTTTTTACTTTTACTTTGTTCAACTTTTTCTTTAGTTTATTCTATTTTATGACTCTTTTTGAATTTCATGAATGTGCATGAGATCTACAACATAAATTCCTATATATTTGTTTTCATGGTTTCTGTAGTATTTTGTATGTTTTATTAACCTTTTATTTAAAATCGTTTTGCTGTGTACTAACTAACATAAAATCTCTTATACATTTCTTATGATCTGCATTTTGTCAACAAAGCAGGAATTATTCGATACATAGTACAGGAAAATTAAAATATTCAATTCAAGGAATTCTTCATTTTGAGATTATTTCAACATAATACTGTTTGTAAAATTTGAAAAACATCAAATTTTTTGTTTTCATTCAAGATATCTGCATGTTATGCTGCAATTCATCAAAACAGATCAGGCATAATCATAAAAGCTACCTTCTTTACATTGACTGACTTCATTCCAAAATGTATACTTCACAATGTTGTTTAATAGTCTTTTCTGCTTATATCTGTTTTTGGTTGTATAAGCTTTGTTTTTATTGCTTCTTTTTGTTTGTTATTAGATATTAAAAATACTTGCATGAGTTTGATGCTAACCAAGAATTTCCTTGTTGGTTGTTGAAATTTAAGACTTTCTCTTCATTTTACTGCATGCGTTTTTCCAACAATTCTGGACAATGCCAAAGACTCACCAACAGAAAGCAGTGAGTGTTTTGTTTTTGTGTTTTCTAGAGATATTTGCAGTCGATTCGGCTGATCAATGAACTAACCTATTTGTGGAATGGTTTGTTCTGGTTGTTCACAATTAACTTACCGTATTTGTATTGTGGAGAAAGGGAAGCGAAACATCCTGATTGTCCCGAAATTAGCACCGTGTAGGCAAGAACCCTTTCGCAAATCCAAGTCTGAAACCCTACTGTATGAGGATTACATGCGAGGTTGGAAGAGCTTGTGTGCACACTATTCATCTGCGCTTGCGGTCATAATAACACACTAACGATTTCTAGCCCCGTCGACGGCGAAAGAAAATTTGATGATTGATGTGTGCAGTCTATCATGGGATAGGAATATTTCTTGCGAACGTGGCATAGGGAAATGCTGATATAAGGTTGATGATCCAGTTTCAAACTCAATACAATGGGTAGAAAAAGAGATTGTCCCCTGTAAATTCATATTTATCCCCGTTTGTTCGTAATGGAAACACATATATATATAATACCATTTGTTTATGTAATCGATGCTCGTAGGACTTATGGTTTCTTCTTATCAGCTCAGAGAAAGGGTCACGTCATGACCCCGAGTAAAAAGGAAGCCAACAGCATTTTATACCACAGCTGGATATCTAAGCTATACGAATGTCGGTCTAATGATGCTCTAATATAAATTAATTCATCCGATTTTATCATATATTACGTTGCACTCAAAATTAAAGCTGAAGTCTTCGACCTTAATCCCATGCTTCGTCAGATTTACATTAAAAAAGCAGTTGTGTGCAAGGTATCTGCCATTGCTTTCTTTGAAGATTGTTAAAAACGCGGACGTCATTGGAATGTTTGAATGTTTTGCTTTCAAATAAATTAAGGTAATGTACTTTCGCATATCGACATAAAACTTGTATTATCTTTGTCATGATTAGTTTACATTAATTTTTTACATAATCCTTAGACGCCAGGGCACGGGTGGCGTAATCTTGTTTTGAGCAAACTTCCATAAAATATACAATGCCTTCGACGCAAGGAATAGAGCAGTGACTCTCAAACTTTCGTGATGCGTGACCTTTATCAAAAATTTTAGACATTTATGTCCCCTTACTTTTTTTTTTTTTTATAAAAATACATATTATTGCGTTCCCTCAGTTCTTGTATGCACTACCTTTGATACCAAAAAAGCCAAAGAATAAATCCATTACTTTCAAAAAACGCACCAAATCGCAGTCAATTTACCTGTAGTTATAGCAAATGTTACCTAATTAGATTTGTTTGTTCGTGCCCTCCCAGGAGGCGAGGACCCAGATTAAGAAATGCTATCCCTATCCGTTAGGGCCACGTTTCCCAACTGGGGAAAAATTCCCACCCAAGAAGGAATTTTATTGTTCTTGCGGGGAAATTTGCTGCAGCCTTGTCAATATTATTTATCATTACTACAGGGTGTTGAAAAAGTAACTCAAAATCTAATCTTTAAAAGTTAAAAAAGTCACTCAAAATTTAACTTCGAACTTCTCCTTCGGTCTTCATTATTCTCATCTCTTGCTTAATGTGATTTATATGGAATAGATGAAAATCTTAAAGACTAAATTTTGTGTTACTTTTTAACACTTTGTATAATACTTATTTTTGCACACATTTTAAACAACTTAAATTTTCCAAAAGTGGAGATGCGACTTTTATTGAAAGGAATTGAACAAAAAGGTGTGGAAAGCAGTGCGTCAGGGTTTTATATTTATCGTCGGTCACGTTACTATATCGTTCAGTCTAGGTATGACAGTGTCATATGACACACTTGAATCGCGGAAAAACTGTGCCATCGACAATCCTACGAGTTATAGAAATTCAGTTTCTCTTTCCTCTCAGTTTCTCTTTCCACATAATCAGCCACCAAATAATAAGAAGAAACAAAATTCTGTTACTTTTTGGCAACGCTCGGTAGCGTAAGTTTCGGTAACACCGTATAATTAAAATGACGCAAGTTATATACGCCTATACCGGTATGATCAATGTGATCATCGTTTTTGTATTCACAATACCATCCATAAGAACTATAATTACAAAATAATTGAGGGGGTAAGGACCTACGTATTGAAATAACGCATTGATCATCAAATAATGAAGTCAAGGTGTTCAATATTAACTGCGCTTTGACCATGTCTCGTAGATTCTATTTATAAAATGCTCTAAGACCAATTTAGAGCGGAAAGTAAAATATTGTGTCAAAATATTATCCGAGTTTATAGTAATAAAATTTTATTGGATTCATTCATAATGTTTAATATTAGTGCGTGTGTCTTTGACGCCGTCACAATATAATGCAAATATCCTTCCTGATTCCGAAATGTCGCAGACTATTAAAATTTTGGTTAGATGGTCATTTACGTTTTCAAAATGTAATGCTCCCATATTATACTATCGCTCATCCGCACATATAATTACAACTGGTTAATTCGAAGCTTCATTCATAGAAACAGCATTTTTTGTTTCTGACTCATAGGATTATTAAAATGCACTTATTTGTAGCTAGAGCACTGAACCAAAAGTTGATCGGATTTATTTCAAATGTTATTCTAATGGCGTCACAGTACAATAGCAAGCACATCATATGTTATTCAATTTCATACCAAAATCCGGTGCCTATTTACTAGTTAGATATTCATAATATGCGGGGCCGTGGCATGTATGTGTTACTATGATCACGCAAATAAAAAATATAGCCTTCTTGCTATCTCTTTTCAATGGCGTTTTGGCAAGTCCGCCACGCATTAAAGTTTCTTTGTGTTGTAAATTGCCGCGCTGGTACAGCAGGAGCCATACTAATTTCTGATGCAGTAGCTGAAGGACCCCTCTATGTGTTGCTCAAGTTACTTAATGTAACACTGTAGAGTGTAGATCAGGGGTGGGCAACTTCTCTATTCGGCGGGCCAGATGTAGGAAAATGAAGTCCTCGGCGGGCCGGATTATTACAAAAAATACTTCGGTATCCAATCTTTGTTAAATGCTCGACACTCTCTTTCTGTCAACTTTACGTTTCTTGGGGTATTCCATAGTTAATAAAACTTTATATAAAATCCAATTTCTAAAATCAATTTATATTTAGAATATAAATATAACTGATACCAGTAGTGGGGTATGTTCACAACGTTCCTGCTTTGACCTTATATTATTTGTTTAACAAGTGTGTTAACGCAATTGTTTGTTCACTAAGACAGTGTTTCCCAAACTGTGTTCCGTCTCCGAAGTGTTCCGTGGAAAAGGAATCGAAAATACGTCCAAAATGATCGTCATAGCGATCCATGGAACGTGAAGTACCGGTAGTCGCCCAACTGACCGTTCGATATCGCGTCACCGTCGGCCTAAAGCGGACTAGCTATAGGGTAGGGTAGTGGCATTTTCGTTAACCGTCGGCCTAGCTATTTGACTGTTTAAGTTTGTTATCAAGTTTACAATAATCTTTTTGGTTGTCATAGCCAAATAAGTAGGTCTAAAGAATGAAGGCAAAAGGTCAAATTTTCTTCCTCCATCTCTGCCTGGTTTTACTTTAAAAAAGCGGAAAAAAATTACAAAGCTGCAGGTCTGCAGCTCACGAAATTGCGACAAGTACTTCTATCTCCATTAGACGCAAACTGAGAGGCAAACACTAAGTAATGGAAAGTAAACGACATATAATTGTAAAATGGATGAATTGATTAATATACACAGCATTTAAATTATGAAACAATAAAAAATTTGGTATATATAATAAATGCAATATGTAGAATATTCAATCATATTTTAGGTATGTTTAACATAATTCTGTTAGTTTTCGCAGCGCATTTGGCAACTCGTCACGACAAACCCATTAGGAACCGCTACATTACACAATTTTTCTTTTTCAATTTTACCCTTACATTTTTTGGTGTTCCACGAGGCGAGATAAAAAGTGTAAGTGTTCCGTTTGGGAAACGCTGCCCTAAGACAATTGGTTATTACCCCAGCTTGCACTGACAGTGCGGTGAGAGTATAGCAATCGGCAACTTTCAGGAATGATGCGTCGGACCACATTACAGAGTGTGGTTGGATACAGTCAGCGGGCCGGTCAAAATCTCGTCGCGGGCCGGACCCGGCCCGCGGGCCGTATGTTGCCCACCCCTGGTGTAGATCTATGTCAATAATATACATATTGTATGTGACACTAAATTACATTTTTTCACTTTGGAACAGCGGCCTCTATCATCTATTAAAATTCTGGTAATAGATCGTCATATAGGTGAAAACATGTCCTACAGGCTACAGCACTGCAAACACTTAAGATTTATTAAACTCAAGTCCAGCGCATCTATTTGAAATAACTGTACCAGATAATCAAACATTTTATGCTACGATTTATCACAAAACATGTTGATTATATCAACATTTCTACATTTCAGGCCACTTTGTGTAAACCATCACAAACCCAGATGAAATTTCAACTTTTTCGGTGAAAAGAATGCAGTCCAATAAAGTTCAAGTGTCTTTTGATATATATAAAAAATACAAAACAATTACTTTCACAAAAAACTTGCTGAAATTCAACAGTTGCTTGGAATGGCCCAAAAGCCTATTTAGAAAAAATCTACTGACGAATTACAGAGTACAAGTCAACAAAATATATATTGTGCTTCATGTCATAGTTGAGGACTAATATGTATCCGCCATTTATTCATGCGACTCAGTAATGTTGTTCCAATAGCACTCCATCGGAACGACAATTCAAATGGCGTTTGGGTCTGAGTATCCATCTTTTTCTTAGCTCTTTACATTAGACGAAAATAACGGTTCTAAAGTCAAAGTTGGAGGATATCATTATAGACTATAAAAAAATTGAAATGTGTCTTTAATAACGAAAATTCTAATTCAACTGTGATGTCCCCGAAGACGATTGCGTCATAAAAGATACTGAATCTCATTGATCATTTGCGGCGAATATATTACTTAACGGCGATCAAAATATATACGTTCTGCATTATATATATATATTTGGGTAATTGAGTTTATCTATATTGTGTTTATATTTGTTTGTGGGCACGGGAATTATGAGTATTGCTATTTATATTATATAGATTACAGTTTAAAATAGAAATGATTGACTCTATTTACGCCTTAAGGAGGATTATACATTTTCGAAATTTGGTTTTCCTGCTTAAAACTGATTCATAAGATCACGATAACCAAAAGATTAATTAGTTCATAACAATATTGTATAACTATTCTGGCATCTGTGCAAGCCTGGCAAAAATTCATAATCCTTAAAATTAGGACTTCATTAGGTCGATTCATTTAACTTTTTTTGTTTGAAAATTTCTAGCATAACTTTTTGGCAACAGACAATGACTTGTTAAGCATTTTTGTTTGTTGCGGGTAACAGATTTGAGTGTAGTTGCTTGGAATAAAACGAGAATACTAAACCATATTGATTGGAAAGATCCCTATTTGAAAACAGCGGTTAAAACTGTTTATATTTCAAATGAAATATGCATTATGTTTTTTGTTCAGTTGCACGTTCTCATTCAATGCATCATGGGAAGATCATGTGTGAATTGCGGAGATCAATGTCCCGGATTTGCACTTCACGCCTGGCGGTGAGTAGAATCAAGCAACCTTGTCTAGTCCACACTAGGATACTAGAACTGCGCATTTGTAACTTTCATATATCTTCTCTTCGTGTTCAATAGAACTAGATACAGGGATGCAGGTAACGCCACAGGTAACATCCGTTTCCCGTCTATTGTTTGAATTTTTAATCAGGAGGCAGTGTGAAATAAATGTACCCCGCCTAGACTGTTGAAAACAGTGAGCTGAAATCAATTAATATTAATACAAGCACGGTTTCAAACAATTTTCCAATGAAGCACCATGTGAACCTATCTCTGCAGCAGACGTTTCAATAAATGGATGATACAATACCTTCTTCATAACGTGACTACCGGTACGCAACTTTCGAGATATGCTATATCGTACTCATGATCTGACTGTTTGCTAACTTGTTATTACTTCCATACCGTTTCCGTTTTAAAGATATGACAAGAAGAGTAAATTTATTTGCTACTTTCAAACTCGGAAGTCTTCGAGGTCATTAATATTGAATTTTGTTATTGTGCTAAGCATCCCATTCACAGGTATCCGGTAATGCCCTTATACCGAGTGCTGTTACTGATGCCAGAATTTCTTATTGAATATTGTTGAAAATTTAAAAATATCCGTCTGCGCCCATGGAAACTAACGAATTGAAATAATTTGGAAATTTGAACTGGTTTGTTAGCGATGAGCTTACGATATCACAGCAAGTCTGACAATATAACAAAATAAACGTTGATACAATAAGCAGATTCACTATAACTACAGACAAAGCCGCAACGACTACTGGATTGATTATTTTTTAGCGAAATGTATTATCTGCTACTCGAATTATATTAGGATATGAAAACATTTTAAAACCAACCATGGCGATGGTTCTTTCATTCGGGTTCATGTTTATTGATTCGTGACTAAAATTACTTTATTTACAAGAAAGAGTGTCATACCAATACTAAATATAACTAAAGTAAGAACCTAATATAGCTGAAGTTGGAATATATTAAAATTGCCACTTGCTTTCGGCACGATCATTGATAGTTATCAAATTCTGTCATTTTTAGGCTAGTATTATTTTGTGTTATTCTAAAAATCGCATAATATTAGTAAATCGTGTTTTTATCGAATTGCGCCAGGCTTGTGTTATCTGTGCCATTGTATATTTGTTTTGGGGTTATCTTATATTAATGTTTGTCTAGCAATTGAAGGTACAATTGTTTGTTTGCTCGGACTATATTTGCTATGCTCCCCAACTGGGAATTTGCTTTGAAAATTCAAATAATATATCGTTGTTATATTTATATATCGCGCTCTGTCTAATGATGTTACTTTAGAAACAATATATTTTTTAACGCACACCAACGGAATCTCGGAACTCCTCGCATTGGTTACTATTTGCTAATTCTCGTTAAGATTATCTCTTTTTTATTAAAAAAGATTCGGTTATCTTCGTGAATTCGTCTTTGATTTGGCTCAACTTATAATCACCACCTAGCAGCGTATTATGGTTAAAGCAAATCGCATTTTAGCCAAGTTTGGTATGATTCTAAATTCAGACATGGCAAACTACGACTCGCGGGCCAAATCCTGCCCGTTGGGTAATTCAATCTTGCCCGCCTGATGCTGTCTCAACCAAACTAAAACCAAATTTTGCTGTTTTAGCAAATAATACCTCAAGGAATTTGTTGGGATTGCGATCAATTTAGTTTTGGCATGAGGCTTATTGTTTTCCACTTTTGCTTTTGTAACACTATAAATATTGTCCATAAAATGTAACTTTTACTTACATGGCCCGCCAGTCTAAATGGACAAGTCATTTCGTGTAGTTCTTACCCACGGTACTTATACCGTAATTTTTTTTTATCTGCCATATACATACAGGATGGTGGGTACTAAAAAAAAGTTTGGTTTTATACTATACGTATTTGTTGAAAGGAAACAAATATAGGTATATAAAGTTATATATTGTTTCTGAAAGGAATTTTCAAATCTGTATATAATGACTGGAACTCAAGCATGTCACCTCCAAGTACAACTAATGGCTTATCACCGATATTTTTGTCGCGGAAAAGTAAGAAAATTGGCCTCGGCAGGCGTAAACCCAAAGGTCATATGGCGTTTTAATCCCCGCTAAATGTAAACTCATAATAGAGTTTGTGCGCCATGAGAGAACTCGATATCTGTTACGATAAGTTGCTGATTTAGTATAATTGTATGACAACATTGATAATGCCAACCAGTTGAAAGAAATTCATTTTTCGTTTTACGAGGATTCCAAATTATTTCCACATAGTTTTTAAGAAACATTCAAATGATGTTATTCATAATGTATGTGCGACATTTTGCCTGTATATACTTGAATCTTTGGGTCATGCCAGTTATCGAATCTATTTCGGAGATGGTAGGTTTCAGTACTGGCTCCAAATCTTAAGTGACGAAAAGATATACCCGCGACGCAATTGAGCCCCTTCGCAACCCGCCCCGGCGACCCCCAGTTTGAAAAACCCTGGTTTATAGAATCAAAGATAACCAAAATATAAGTTACAATAGATGTCAGAGTCTCGCAAGGAATAAATATGCGACTTCAACCTGTATAAATTTTAACCATTGTAGAAGTCAAGTATTTTAGTACCGCCATCATATGTCATGCCGGTACTGAAAATCGTTCATAGAATCAAAAAGAGCAATAAAAAACATTAATATTAACTCACGTATTAGTGAAAATTCTTTCACGATTTTACTAATGATTTATATCCAAAATATGCGTCTTGACATCACAATTTTATCGTTATTATTTACTAAACAAAAAGTTGGAAAACACTCAAATAACTTCGCTCAGAAGTTAAGTACCGCTATAGAAGTTAAACCACCAACAAGAAGTACAAACATGTTCTTAAGTGAAAATCCGGATTCGTCTGTTCCTGAGCGATTACCTAGTACTATTCGATGTGGGCTTTGCGAATGTATTATTTTCGTTTAACCAGATAGTGATAGACGCATATTATTGGACACAAAGTTAAAAAAAAGTATCGTTTTGTCAAATTCTTGCTGTTTTTAATCTTGTGGTTGTTGGAGTGATTGTTGATAAAATTGTTCTTCGTCGTAACCAATTTACCAATCAATTTCAAATTTTTTTTGCTTTAAGATGGAAATAGTCGCTAGAATAGGCTATTTTTTTAAAAGCTGTATTCAGAGTCCTTCGGGATCCTATATTCAAAAAATATATATATACAGTTTTATCTTAATTAAAGGGAATCTTTATTTCCTATTGATCTTTGCTTCAGATTCAGTGTTTTCAGACTTATCATACCGATACCGATGCTTCACTTTCGTGTCCACGTATTTGCTTCTTTGTTAGTATTGGCTTGTGACATTAATTATCGCAGTGGGTTTTGACGGGGATTTGAATATCACTTGGTTAAAGGTACACAAATCCATCAATTTCCCACCGTTTTCTGTGAAGATTTTCACTGAACAACAATACTACCATGTTTACCCATGTCGCACGTAGGGAATGTTTGTTTTAACAGGTGTCGTTCACAATAGCTGCGAGCACCACTTGTATTGCGCTTGAATCGCGTCACAGCAGGATAAGGCCCATTGTGCCCACAAAACACATTAGTACACCAGTTAAATCTTGGTAATCGAAATCTTAACTCGAAATTGATTATGCAACTAATTAAATATATATAACACTTCGTTATTGTGAAATATTCTTAGTTTTCCACTAAAACTTAAAAAATATTTGTAACAAAACAAATGTACGCATTTTAGCGCTAATTGACCAGCGTACGACAGAACACGCAAATATCCCTGAGAAAGTTATTTTGAACTTGCATTGTTCAATTTACTGATAATAATAAAGCTTCATCAACTATCATAGCATATTATAGCATATTATATTATTATTATTATTATTATTATTTTCCCAAGCATTTAGAGATCACAGACAGATAAAACAAAATGGTGGCAGACTCACCAGATTGATGTGCTTTTTATTCACTGATGCAACTGTTTGAAAAAAATTACTATACATGGTTATATCATGGTTTCGCCTTGGTGTGACTATGCGAGAGATTTCAAGCTAAAGTGCTGCGGTTAGTTGGCGGTATATTCAAGCTAGACGTCATATCAAAAAGGTGGACGGCTCTATCAAATCACGAAATACCGGTTATTCCCAATCTCAGTAATCTGCCTCCAAGTCTCGAGATCGCCATTTCGCCCTACAATGAGAAACAAACTATGAAATGACCGACATATTTTTGCATTCATTATATTTTAACACACAGTATTATGGAAGTTTTCACATGTCACTTGACTAGCCTACATCGCTTATTGCGAGTTCAAACGTGTCATTTCTTGGAATTTGAGATTTAAATTTTGAGTCGGTATGCGTTATTCCGCCTGATTGTAAACAAAGGCCAATTACTATTAATAATAGTTAATAGGTCCGTTATGGTTATGCCAATAGAAACACAATGAAAAATCTACATTTGTTTAAATGTATTACATATGTGATTGTCTTATTGTCGAGATTACGTCATCCCAGTCGTTTCTGTTTCTTCTACTTTGGGGCTACGTATGAGTCGACTCTCAGCGTGACACAGCGTCAATGTCATATCAGCATCTTGCTCTTGAATGCGTTTTATTTTGGTATTAAATTTTGTATTAATTGCCAAATGTTAGTATATTTGGCGCAACTTTTTCACTGTAAATCTAAATCTATGTAGTAATAAATCTGAAGGAAACCGAGTAGAATAGTCACAAGTCTCAAGACGATTCCCAAGCTAATTGTTTGATCTAGGCATCGGCGTATTTTGATTCTTTTATGAGTAACAACATCAGTTATAACTGCCTGGGAAAATTATTAAAATACCTTCTGACTAGGCGTATAGATATTGTAAATTGTCTGGACTTAATTGAGGTGGTTTAAGTTTTGCATGTATATAAGTAAGTTACGAAAGGTGATATAGTTGCGACGACTTGAAATAAAAAAAAATTCTTCTTC